AACCCCATTTATTCCTGCAGATTTCGTACACAATTGTTTCCTGCTGGGTTGGCTCGCTCCCTGTTGCTAATCTTTTCCGGCCGTCCATCTGATTCTGAGCGATGTTGATCGAAGACAGCTGTTGAAGAAAGTCTGCAGTTTGTTCGAAGTGTCCTTCGGGATGCATCAAGTCTCTGATCCGTTTAGTAGCACTGACTTCACACTGAATTTGAAAATCCGGATCTTATTTTTCATGCCGATTGCTGTTGATCTCCACACAGACTTGGGAGTAGTTATAGCCTACCTTCCTTTCTCGATTCTCACTTTGATATCTTCGTCAGTTCCGTCCATCTTTAGTTGGAGCGTTGCTTCCCAATTAGGTGGGTGGAGGAGCTTACTTCTTTGAGATTCCTGCCATTTATGCTGGCTGATTGTTGTCTGTTGTTGTTGCTGTTTCTGTCGGCCAGGAATCTTCATCACCACATCTGTCTTCTCTGTGTTCACCTGAAGCCCCATCTTCTCTGGATGCTTCTTCTATCGCCAACTTGTCGCTTTTCACTTGCATATCTTCCAGTTTGTGGAAAATCAGACACATATCATCGGCGAAGTCCATATCCTCCAAGTCTTTTTTATATCTGTGTGGGTCCAATTTATGCCTGTCTCCTCGTTTCCCGGCCTTCTGTCCGTCGCGTTATCCGGTCTACTGCAATCGGGAAAATCACTGGACATGGTAGACAGTCAGCTTTTCTTACTCTTATCTTCACTTCTTCGAAGGATTCTGTGAGTTTCCCCTTGTGGATCACTTGGAATGCAGTGTTGTCGTACAGTTGTTAGATGAGGTATATAATTGTTGGCGACGCCCCGTAGGAGCCAAGAAGTTTCCAGATCACCTCTCTACCACAATGGAGTTGAGGTAGAGAGCTGACTGACATTACAAGCTCTGTTTAATGATGATACGTAGTGTTGCAATTTGATCGACGCATTGCTTGTTTCCCATAAATCCAGCCTGTTCCGGTCGGATTTTTTCATCCAGGGCGTCTTCGGTTCCCTCGTGGATGATGTGGATTAGTACTTTGCTTAGAATGGAGAAGAGCATAATGCCAGGCCAGTTCTTGCATTGACGTAATTCTCCTTTCTTTGGCAGTTTGAAAATGTAGCCTTTCTTCCTATCCACAGCCACCTTGGCCTTTTTTCACACCTTCTCCAGCAGCGAGGTCATCAATTCCGCTGATGTCTCTGGCTCCATGTTCAATGTTTCTGCTGGGATTCTATCTGATCCTGCGGCTTTTCCGGTCTGTAGCATCTCGACTGCCTTCAGCAAAATAAATATGGTTTCGTATTTGTCCCTCAGTGATAGTATGGAGTGATGCAGACTGACAGAAAGCGGCCAAATTTGAAATCAATGTCCTGAGTAAATGGCTGCAGGGGTAGAGGTGTTTATTCCTCAAATCTGCATTTGTTTCTTGTCGTAGTCATGCGATAACTTCATTAAACAACCTCATTTAACCACCAACCGATCGCTCACCAATCAGAGGAATTCATTGTCCACTGAACTAGCCCACTATGGATGCGGTAAAACAGTGTATAAATGTGATGTGTTTTCCCTAACAGACTTCTGTTACCATGTTTCTCACCTTCTCCTGTTACTATGTAATACGTCTTTATCAAACCTCGTCCAAAGCCTTTAAGAAAAAACATACCTGGAATGTATAGGCCACATAAATTTAATAGACCCAACGTTTCACCATATCATGAAGTAGCAAGATGGTTGGCGGGCATACTTAAACCACTGCGGTTAAAAGTGGCTAAGTACAGCTTGAAGAACACTTTCGAATTTACGTGAGAATTAAGAGAGAAGAAAATCAACAATGAAACAGTGCTCTCTGTGGATGTCACTCCCCTGTCTACTAATACCTTTTTATTGAAGACAATCGACTTCATCTGTGAATCCAGTACACAAAAAGATATAAATGTAGGTATACTACCCTAAACACTATGGGTACTGCAAAACCGTTGTATTATGAATGTGTAGTTTTACTTTAACAACGAAATCCACCATCAAGTGTAGGTCGCTGCAATGGGGTCCCTTCTGAGTGTCCCCTCAGCTTATGTGTTTATGGTAAAATTCTATAGCTGCCCATGGGAAAATGCAGTCAAGGAAATCTCGCTATACTGAAGATATTTGGACGAGATGTTTATCTGGTATAATAATAAATGGATGCTATGGTCCTTCTCAAAACGTTTATTATGTCTCACTCACAAAGTGAGTTCATATATGAAACAGAAAAGCACAACGTGTTATCATTTCCTGATAACAAGAAGGCATGATGGCAACATTATGTGGGGTATTTTCATGAAGCTGTCATTTGTTGACCAATACATCAATTTCGGATCGTTTATTCCTCCTGCATATAAACTAAATCCTATCAGTATGTGCAAAACTTGAGCACTGTGGTAGTGAGTAATTTCATATCAGTTTGTTTGTTGGATATATATAACACAGTGAAACAGTATTATTTACTGGATGATGTTTCGAACAAGATTTAGTGTTCATAATCATATCAGTTATAATCACACGACTCCAAAACTTGAGTTTTGTAGTGTTCTTTGTCCTCCTTATTTCTTATTTTGGTGTTTTCTTGCGCATATTTGACTTGCATGTTGTTATTATTATTATTATTGTCACTATCACTACCGTCATTATTTATTTTTACATTTTCCTACATACTTCCTGACTAATTTATCAGTACCTTGATGTTTTGCGCTAGAAAAGTCTGCACTACTGACACTCTAGGCGATGAAATAAGGAAAAGCGAAAATGAATTATGTGAGAACGGTTACTCAGAATAATTTGTTACAGTTTGTATGGGCGGAACAGGCAGAAAGGAATGTCTGCAAACGGTGAAAAAGAAACGTTTATATGCTACTTTACCGTCTAAGGAAGACGCAGCTACTGAAATACTAGCATCGAAACCCCAGAAAATAATGGTAAAAACATTCTTCGCTACAGCTTTCTGTTTAAAATTAGCTACTCATTGTATTATTTCAACGCAGGCGAAGGTCGAGCTACCGAGTCTCGCTACTGCAGTGCTAATTTATAAATTTAACTGTTCATGTGGAGATTGTTACATAGGTAGAACATCTCGGCAGGTCCACTGTCGCCTTCTCAGGAATTGTCTAACACGGTTAGGTAAAGGAGTTGTAAAGTCAATCAAAAGTTCCATCCTGACACATCTTATGCATTCAGAGAAGAAGATTAAGGCAAATTCAGCTTTTAGAATTCTACACAACGTAACACCTTAACTCCCTAGCTTGATACTTCTTCAGTTGCTAGTCACAGCTGAGTCAGTCGCCATAAAAAAGTGTTCACTCCAATCTCTGTGTTCAGAAAAAGTTTATTCAATCTCTCCTCCTACCTTTGCCTTCACCCCTGACTAAGAATACTTACATCTACTGGTGATACCTGATAAATGTGAATATTACCCTATTATTTTATTTTCATTTGTACCGTCAAGTGCTGTGCTGTGGTTTTACATCTTAATCTGGGTTTCAAAATTCGCTGCTATTATTATTAAATCATCTAATGGCTATGTGGCGCTAGTTATTTTCCCCTCTACCCCTACTAGTAAACACATTCTACTTTTACACTCACCATTACCTAGATTATACAAGCAATCAATGAATCTGCCCATGGTATTATTGTTATAATCACCCCGATTGTTGTCCATTAATTCACACTCCCGAACTCTGATCCCATATTTTACTCATTACATTATTTCAAATGCCTATGACTAATTTACAGTATTTCATCATGAGCTGACATTAGTTAGACAACCATTGGAAAAGCTGGGAGTACTGGACAGCTGTTTTGTGAGCTCAGTTTGGGACTCTTCAGCAGTATGCACCCACCGGGATTCGAACCCAGGACCTTCCAGGTACAAGGCGAGCTCGTATACCATTAAGCCACTGGGACCCGATCCATTGGGCCTTTAATTCTAACTTCTGCCAATTCACGACATAGGGCGACCGCTAGCGAATGTCTTCGGCGAGTATTTGTCCTCACACCCGACCAGATTCACCCTGCTGGTCACGACTTCTCACTAGAACCCCAGGTAACTACCTACCTGAATAGGGCAAGTCGCTAGAGAGCATCTCATTGATATTCAAGTGTTGGTTTGTAGGGATTTGATTAGTTTACAGTATTTCATCATGAACTGACATCAGTTAGAGAACCTACGAATAATATTTCACTATGTAACTGTAAAGCCTAATAAGAATTTACCAAAAACATATATATTTGCTTAAATTGTGTTCTATAAGTGACCTTGTAAATCTCGTTAATTTGTAATCAGTGCACAATCACATGCTCATTCGTCAGCATTTCTATGGGTATTATAGACCGCGGGGAAGGATGGTATGAGCATACATTCAAGTAACAATAGTCAAGTCACCACTTTGCAAATGTGACTGGTAGAATTCACTGTACACCAGACGAGGGACTAGATGCGTGACATTAGTTATTACCTTGTGTCCTACCAGATTATGCATTACTCATAACCCCAATAGCTCAGTGGTGACGTTTTCAAACGTGGCACTGGGTAACGCGTGTTCGAATTTCAGAAGCGACATGACTTCTTTCAAAGCTCCAGACACGACTTGCTGATGACTGCCGGCTAGCATAAAATACCTAGGTCCCAGACTTCCTGCTGACTGCCTCCAAATATCTAGTACCAACAACTCATAGTGCAGCGTGACGGCGAACGACTCAGTATATTGGCCACATTACAAACTTGACTGATGGAATCCAGTTTGCATCAAAGATAGGATAGACACATTACACTGGTTACTCACTAGTGTCCAATGCAAAATGACTTACTATCCATTAAATCTTATATACACACAATTCTGTCTTTTTACAGCAGTCAGATACTTTCAGCATAATTTGTAGCCTTTTTTGCTCACTTTAGCCAACAAAACATAACTAGCAGCTCAAAATAAAAATTTTTTTAATTCAAAGTTGTACAAAATTTCAACGTGCATAAAACGTGCTTGTTGAACATAGACTGTTTGTTTCATCTCCAGTTATTTGTTACGTTGTGTAGGTCACTCAAAAATTCCTGAAAGACAAAATAAATAAGACAGTTAAAAACCAGAAATTTGTTCTTTCTTCAGTTATTTCAGCTCACATCAGAAGTATGAAACTTACATTTGGTGTATGTTTCATTATTTCTTCAGGAGCTTTCCTCGTTTGTCTAAAATATCAAATTATATGAGTAGTCAAAGACAGCGATTCACTCTACATTAACTGCAACTTTATAAATGAACAAAGATGAGTCTTGCAAATTAAACATACTTTTCTTCCGAATACTATTCTTTGCAGTGTTCCTGTAAGAAAGTGTTCTGGCAGCAGTAGACTGGGCTGAGAAAGAATACTCTAGAAGGTTTTTATTCCGCGGAAAATTCATGTCTAATGCAAAATAAGCTTAAAGATCTACAGGCGAAATCCAACAGGTTAGCAGATGATATTGGCAGCAAAGATAGGACTGCAAGTTAAAATAGAGGTCATAAAGGCCATCAGTGCAAGAAATTTGATGAAGTCACCCCCTTAACTTGTCTGGGGAGCGTTGTTCCAACTACAGACGGCAGTAATGAGTAAATCAAAGCCAGAACAGACCTCCATCAATCTGATATTTATGTGGATATCCTCTGCACTCAGCATAAAGAATAAGATTCGATTTTCAAGTAGTCTAACCGGAAGAAGTTAGCAACAAGGAATTCGTGTGGCGGCAAAACAACTATGAACATGTCACTCAACATATACGCCAAGAAAAATGGAGGTGGATCGGACACATGCTGAGGTAACCATTGGTTGGGATCGTGCTCAGGCTAGACGCTCAAGTTGATTCCTACTGGTAAACCATGATTGGGCATTGGTTAGATGATATTGGATCCTCTTTCTATTATTCTCTTCCCTATTCTTCTCTTTCGCTTGTCTTCTCCAGTGAACTGTTTCTTTTTTACCTGAAGATAATTTCTAGAAGTATCCTGATGATATAACCTTACACACGCTTCTCGTCATATCACTCATAGCAGTCCTTTAAGTAGAACCCAGTCGTTATCAGTACCCTTAAAACTTTGTCGACACATTTAGTGAGAAAAAACGAAACTTTTTGGGTGCAATTTACTACCAATTATGTTTGATTTATGAAAATGGTGATTATAACCCAAGAAGGTTTCATTGTGTAATTCAATAAAAATTTCTTTTGTAATCATCACTTACTTTACACAGAGTTTGAGGATTTGGACAAATAATTGATATTTTATACAATTTATCGCTAATACTGAAATTAGATTTAACCACTTCTCCATCTGTAGGACATTTTACTTTGTGACCGTCGAAATTAACGTACAGAGTATTGCTTTTACATTCATACTATGGTAAAATAAATTAAAAATAAAATTATTCACAGCAGACATAGAAAGGTACTCAAATATCCAGTCTTCACTACATGCAATATGATAAAATTTGAGTAGAATAGAGAAATAAACCATCATTTGTGTTATTTTGTAATAAGTGGACTTAACAGAAAGTAAGCAAGATATTTGGATGACGTATAAAATTGTTAGTAGTTTAGCATTGATTGACATCTCAACTTCAGTGTTCCAGCGTTCCTTGGCACACTAATGGTGAATTCGCTGGGGAATATCAAAAGATTTCAGACTTCTAAACTGATTGGTAAGCAAAAAACTTATTAAGCTTTACCAGGAAAGCAAGTACAGTTATAATTCATGAAAAGTTTATGCGTGTAGGAGTGATGTAGCAGACTGTAGGCATTTTAAAAGTATATGTCGCAATCTGCTGGTCTTTCTTTTTTATATTGCATTATTTTTCCCATTCCTTTGAGTTTCATATGGAAGACAGGACATCAAGCTTGAGTTCTGAATGTCCAGTAATTGTGGCGTTCCTTTCACAGGGTGCAGTAGTTAGTCTCACACTGAACCTGTCATTTTTTCGGCCTTACTACAGGCCAAGTGAACTTTTGGAATACGTCAGCCATGAATAAAACTCAGCTACCTACACTATATTATGATATATGCTGTCACCCCCGAAATGTACGAAAAATAAAATTACTTGGATTGATTAATGGCATTTAGTTAGTCACCAGGAAAATAGTCACAGGTGAATAAAGAGATGATGTTAATTATCAGAATTGTTATCAAAATAAGACGGAAGATGAAGATGAACGGCAGTGTCAACTGCTAGTCTGTGATTGTAACAGGACTAAGGGTTCGAGGAAATGAACATAAGACACTTCAGAGAAGCAGATTTTCACAAGTTTATAACCAGGGTATACTTTGCTTGTGTATTTGGAATCAGTTCACTCATCATCTGTGTATACCAGTGTAAAACCAGACTTATACAAATTTTATCATATTTATCATTGTTAGTACCACAACTATTCCTCTCACTTGCCACATGTATCATTTCACTTCACTGTCTTTCTGATACATCATTATTTTTACCAGTGCTAGTTGTCAATTAAATTCAAACTATGTAGGTCCAGTTTGCTTCTTGTATTCATTTTTTTTCTCATTCTATCGATTTCTGCTCATTTCTCATAATCTATACATATCAGTTATTAAAAATTTACAAAAAGCTCACCCAATGACTTCGTCTCAAGACGTGATTCATTGTCCACACCTGAAACGTCTGATCTATAATCAAAAATAGCTAACTGCCATTGTCATACATTTACTCTTCAGTGAGGAGCAACCAGCTTATTACGTCCAGTCCTCAGTACTGCTGCTGAATGAGTTCTATACGTCAAGCCTGTAATGTGGTCACCAAGCTAAGGTTCGAATCACACAAGAAACTTTATTCCCATAAGGCTTACAGATATGCCTTCCTGAAGAATACTAAGAAGCATAAAATTTACGTCTTGGGCTTCTTGTCGATTGCTTCCAACCATTTCGCAAGGTGATATGTATTACTGGTTAGTGTAAATAGTTGAAAATCACATATATCGACCATTACTACCTGCTAAGTGAATGTAAACAGCAGAACCGTTTTTATCAATACTGTAAGGACACTGGACCATCTTGGAGAGCCCTATCCTATTGCACAACATATATTTAATTAGTTTCGAATTCACGAAAATGTCAGTAGTCACTCTGTTTAATATTCCTACAGTATGTTCATTCTGAATGCATTTAAAAAACACAGTTGAAGCTGGCCTTCCACCCTTAAATCTACCAAATGAACAATAATTGATATTTTGTACCATAATGTGATTTTTGATACAATTTTGTTCTTGCTTTCCACTGCCTGTTAGATGGAAACGGTAATAGATTTGTCAAATCAGAGACTGAGGAGAAGAAGAATTAGGTTATTGAAGGAGAATATCTGTTCAAATATTTCCTGCTTTGAATTACTTCAAGGAACGTTTAAATCAATTATTTATTTATTTAAAAAATGGTAGTTAATAGGAGTCTTCTAATTTACAGCCACGTTTCAATGAATCGAAAATTCCCATAAAATTAAGATGACTAATTATATCATAACTTGTCGATGCTTATCTTGAAACCCAAATAAATACATATCCTGCTGATACTACGACAGAGAGGATTTCCGAACAACTTAACAGTTATTATTAACTAATTTATGTTAATAAATGACACTATGAAAGTGAAACGTTCACGTCACGGCATACTGGTACTAGGCTGAGTTTACTGTAGAGAAGTCAGTTAGGCGCCGATTGATAACAAATCAACCATCGACACAGTGTGATGAATGGAATCAGAAAAAATCGGTTATCCAATTAACTGAGTTTAAAATAAAATTAAAATTATTATTTCACTAACTGTATGACATGTGCCTTTTATGTTTGTACCAATCCTCGTTATGTGGGTTTTATTTTCATATGTCCAAACATTTCCGTGACTAATACAAATACCATTTTCTCCATATGATTGTATGAAAGTGTTTTCGAAGTTTTCTGAAGGTTTATTTCAAAAACAGAGACATGAGACTTGAAAAAACCTGAATAGTATTAATCACTACTGAATGAGTAATATTTTATTATACAAGCAGCATAAATATAGAAAGCGTAAATGACAGTGTCATGGCACAAAATGCCGCATTTGTGATGTAATAAAGTCCTTCATTTATTAATAACAGTCAAAACTAACAGTTAATTGCATAGGTAAGTATTGCTGTTGGTAGACTGCACTTCAGTGAAATTATTAAATGAATTTATCAGAAGTAACTTAGTAGGCAGAACAATTTTTTGTCAAGCCTTTGATAGTAAAATATGGTGGCATCTTTATAGTGATAAACGTTGACACAAATAGTGATCAACACAGTCTGAATATTGCTTTGTGTTATCATAGATCTCTCTAACAATTGAACTATATAGCTTCAGCAAAATATACATTGTCAGATGTCCACATATTCTCTTTAAGTCACTTTGAAATTTACTGATAATTGAATGAGTAGTGCTATGTGGTGTTCACTCAGTCCTTACTAGTGTATTGTTAACAAATGAGATGCTTGCTAGCAACTGGCCCTATTCAGGAAGCTTCTAGTGTGAGGTCGTGAGTAGTAGGGGGTAGCAGGTGGGGTATGAGGACAAATACTCACTGAAGACATTGGCTAAGTGTCGCGCTATGTCGTGAATTGACAGAAGTGAACTAATAGTCTACGAGCTAGCCTTGTAACTAGAAAGTCCTGGTTTTAAACCTCCTGGGGTGGGCACGTACTGATGAAGATTCCTAAACTAGGATGAAACAACTGTCTAGTACTCCTTGCAGGTTCCCCAATGGTTCTCTAACCAATGTCAGCTCATGATAAAGTCCTGTAACCAAAATACATATAATTTGGGAAGTTAAGGACAAAATCACTACTATCATGAAATATGTTGCTGCAATAATGTAGTAGTGGTGAGATGCATTTTATTTTCATTCTGAATGTACTCTTTCAGTTTTCATGAGGTAAAATGTAGTTTTACCACTTTTAGAATGTAGGTGCGCCATCACATTGTGATTAAGTATGCAGTATATCTGTTCCTCAGCTTCATCGACTTCGAGAAGGCCTTCAGCAGCGTAGACCGAAAAGCAATGTGGAAATTACTTCAACACTACGGCGTTCAGTGTCCAAATCTTTGTCATTCTCATTCAACAGCTATATGGCAATGCTACATGTCAGGTGTTCCATAGTGGAAAACTCAGCGAGGCGTTCCAAGTGAACACAGAAGTAAGACAAGTCTGCCTGCTTATTACCCCCAATGATATTCTTAGTTGTGGTGTACTAGATTATGCGTCAGACTGTTAGCAGCGAAGAGTCAGCAATACGCTAGAGGACCGATAAGAAGACTCAAAAAGATCTGGATTTCGCAAATGATATACGTCTAATGTCACACAAACTCTAAGACTTGCAGGCGAAAACCAACAAACTGGCAGAAGTGGCAGGAAGCGAAGACAGGACTGTAGGTGAACACAGAGAAGACAGAGGTGATGAAAATAGCCAATCGACAGCAATAATAACCAGCACCAGTCACTATCAATGGTAGAGATTTAACAGTGGTTGCCTCCTTCACTTATCTGGGAAGCATCGTTTCAACTACTGGTGAAATGGACGAAGGCATTAAACCAGTTCGGAAATCTCCCGCACTAAGAATAAGGGACAAGATTCGCATTTTCAACACCAATGTGAAGTTGGTCAGTGCTTCTATACGGGTCAGAAACTTGAGCTGCGTTTCACGAAAAGGACTTCCAGCAGGTTGCAGACTTTCATCAACAGCTACCTTCGCTGGTTCCATGGTGAAGATCAAATGGCCAGAAAGAATCAGTAACAAGAAACTCTGACAACAAACCAACCAAGAGCCTATCGCTCAACAAATATGTAAGAGAAAGCGGAGATGGATTGATCAGGCATACATTGAGGAGGCCACCGAGTTACATCGTACGCCAGACATTGCTCGAGTGGAATCCAAATGGAAGTGACTAGTGGGTCCTCCTAGGGTGGCATGGATGAGGTCGCTTAAGAAAGGGATGACAGAGTTCGTGTAATCGTTGACTCAGATGAAGACGACAGCAGAAAAGAGAAGAAAGTGGAGATGTGTTGTTGAAGCCCTATGTTCCACTTGGAACCCAAGAGAATAGTAATAATAATTATATAATAATATCCTCAAAAATAAAGTATTTATGTTCAAGATCCAGAACTTGTTGATATCGCCCCTTAAACCTAATCTAATTCAGTTTGTGGACACATGGGAAGAAAGATTATTGAGGTTCCATACAGTTGGTACTTCTGATAAACTTCGAGAAAGAAAGCAAGACCAGATTTGTAGTATAAAGTGATATCATTCTATTTCACAGGTCCTCATCTCCTGCAAACTACTTAAAATCACACTGGTTACAAAAATGACAGTAACACGCTTCAATGCTTGAATGGCAATAGGGAAAACATTATAAAATTGACGCATCTGAAATATACGGATTACAAGTTTTAATTTAAGTTATCATCAACTTATATGCTTCGAAAACAGAAAAGGAGGTGGGGGGGAGGAGAAGGCAGAAAACAGAAAAAAATTTAATAAAACTGTGTGAGCTTGTAAGTTCACGCAGCAACTTACGACGATTATAGTTAATCAGATCGAAGACTTGCACATTGAGCTGAAGTCACTAACATTGTTGACTACTACAATGTAAGCTAAGTGCGATTACCAAGGGAGTGAAAGACTAACTGCACTCTCTTTCTGAATGCATGAATTTGTTTTGAGTTATTTGATTACAACTGCCTAAGTTTATAGTAGTAAATTTGTTGTCTTTTTCATGTTTAGTATGTGGAAATCTGGGTAAAATGATCAATGTCTACAAGGTGTCTGGTAACTGCAGTTTACGAATGCTATTGTAGTATTGATACCAATGTTTAAAGGATGTCATGGCAATGGTTAGTTAACACACTTGTAAAGGGGAACCTGTTCATGAAGAAAATAAAAAGCGATTCGGCGGCGAAAATTCTCTTTGTCAACGACTTGCCTTTTCTTGCCTCTGTGACTCAATGGGTATTTTCAGGATACTGAACTTCATCAATCTCAGCATAGATGTGAATGTTTTGATGTTGGCGATTGAAAATCTTTTCTGGAAGAACTCTTACATTTTATAAGAAGTATCTGAAGTAAAACCTATGCGAAATATATCCATCCTCAGTCAGGAAATGTTTCAAAGGCAATCCAAACCTTAAGGTTGAAGAAGTGCACTCCCATGTTCCATGAAAAAAGTATTGTATTTTCACATAACGCAATGTCCTTTAACTATATCACCTATTTATATGCTCAAAGAAGCTATGTACAAAATGATTTGCCTGTTTACTGATAAGAATCATTTTCAACCAGTTCTGCTGTGGTGTTACACAACAGCCTTCTCAGAGTGTACCCAATCCATCTTTATCTTCTTCGGAATATTTGTAGAGCAATAAGTTCTTGGTTGATTAGTTCCTAGAGTTTCTCGTTGCTAATTCCTTTTGGTTATCTAATCTTCAGTATGTAGTCAGTGAAGGTAATCGTTAATAAAATCTGAGTAGCCTATTAGAAATCCTTTTCGTGACTCATCAACTTTATGATCAATACAGAAGAATTGATCTAACGAATAGTGGTGAAAATCAGAATTCCGGTGTTTTTGTGTTGAGTGCAGTAGGTTTCCAAACTCATTTCAGAGTAATGGAAGTCTACGTTACCTTTCCCATCACGGTTTTGGTATCCTCATTAGTATTGCCTGTAGCTGAAACGATGCTTCCTAGATATGTGAAGGAAGTGACCTCTTTCAAATTTCTCGCATTGGCTGCGAATAAAGCTTCCTGATGTTGTTTGGTTATCTTCATCATTGCCGCCTTTTGTATATTCACCTGACGTCCTGTTCTTACTGCTCTTCTGACATCTCGATTTTATTCGTAGTAATATTTTCAATATCTTTGATATTAGCGTTGTGTTATTCCTATTGGGGTTTTTTTATTACAGTTTGATTCCACACTGTACCTTTGGTACTAGTATGAAATTTCAGCATGTGATATCGGTAGCCCAAATTTTGTAGGCCAACCATAGATATCAGGTGTGCGTTGGCAGTGGATCGAACCTTGGACTATGTGCATGGTTGGTGTGAATCCTAACCACATGTTAGCTGTAGATTCGACGAACAAAGATTCTGTCATTAATCTCTCTCTCTTTACACCTGTCTGTATTATTTTTTAGAACTTTAGATCAGTCCAGCCCTATTTTGGGATTGTAGGTTAGTGCCTTCATAGTGATTCGTGAGTTTTCTTTAAACTATTCAGCTGCATAGGACAACTGCTCAGGTTAAACCAGTAGCTAGGGAGTAGTATGTGTTGGCATAGGTTGATCACAGAGTGTTTTTTCATTGCATCTACACCTGACATGTTGATATATATCAGTTCATCTGTTCATGTACACTCAGGTTAATTGGTCGTTGAATGCCTATACTGTCTAAAAGCATCCCAGAACACTATTGCCTACGGTCGCAGATAGGTAACAGTTGCTCTACTAGAAGTGCACTAATTGACTACCTTGTTAACACTGACCATTCTATTCCAATAAAGTACTTCAAGATGCTCTTGATATGAGTGCCTTTATATAATCGCTTCGGCGGTACGTTTACTAAAATTGGAACGATACAGAGAAGATTAGCATGGCCCCTGCGCAAGGATAACACGCCAAATCGTGAAGCGTTCCATATTTTTAACCTCGCCAGATACTAGCTTGCTAGGCTACAAGCTTACTAGTTTTCTCGCCGGTCCCAAGCCCGGGTAAAGAGGGAGGGTTGGGGCGTGGTGCTAGCAACTCCACCCCTGTAAAACAACCAAATCGCTACAGAAACTTCAACGAATAAATATATTAAAAATTCTAAAAACATAAGCAATAGCCTTACTTTTCGCTGGAATCGGGGAAGTGAAATGACGCAGGCTGGTGAAAGCCTTCGGGAAGCCAGTCAGCCGATGTGCCTTCTTTCGATGAAAGCAAAAGTAAGGATGGGTACCTGGAATGTTCGCACAATGTACGAAACTGGAAAGGCTGCCCAGATAGCCGCTGAAATGAGAAGGTACAGAATAGAAGTGTTGGGAATCTGCGAAAGCAGATGGAACGGAACTGGAAGGTGCCAACTACCTACTGGAGAGACAGTAATCTATTCCGGCCACCTAGAGGACAACCATGAGCACACCGAGGGAGTGGCCATCATGATGTCACCAACAGCAACCAAAGCTCTCATGCAGTGGGAACCAATCTCCTCCAGGATAATGACAGCCAGGTTCAACTCAAAAGGAAGGAAAGTTACAGTCATTCAATGTTATGCGCCTACAAACGTCTCAGAACAAGAGAAGAAGGAGGCGTTCTACAGACAACTACAAGCAATAATGGACAACGTCCCAAATGGCGATATCAAAATCCTGATGGGCGACATGAATGCGAAGCTGGGGGAGACAACACAGGAAGAGAACTCACCATGGGTCGTGAGGCCCTCGGCGAAATGAACGACAATGGTGAACTCTTCTCAGACTTCTGCGCCTTCAATGATTTGGTGATTGGTGGTAGTGTGTTCAAACACAAGGATATACACAAGACGACATGGATTTCACCAGATGGAAACACCAAGAACCAAATAGACTTCATCTCAATTTCAAGAAAGTGGAGACGGAGCCTACTGGACACAAGGTCAAGGAGAGGAGCAGATGTGGGTTCAGACCACTATCTAGTACAAGGGACTTTCAAGGTGAAACTAAAAGCCTCGAGGATAGCTGGGGATAGGCCACAATGCAAGTTCAACACTCAATTACTGAAGGACACAACCACAAAAGACACCTTCACTGCAACTGTCAGAGCAAAGCAGGAAACACTACGCGACATCACTGAAGAATCATGCGTGGAAGAACATTGGAAGTCTCTGAAGGCGATTCTCAACGAAACGTGTTCAACGGTTCTAGGAAGAAAGAAGAGACAAGACAAGGAATGGCTCTCAACGGACACTTGGAAATTAATAGAAGAGAGGAGAATGGTGAAAGAGAAAATGATTCAATGCAAGGACGGACAGGAGAAGGAGACGATGAGCTCAACTTACAAAGCACTGGACAAAGAAGTGAAGAAGAGTGCTAGGAAGGACAAAAGACGATTCTACGACAACCTCGCCACTGAAGCTGAGAAGGCAGCAGGCAAAAGGGACCTGAGGACACTATATCAGATAACCAAATCTCTATCCGGGAAGAGACCAACACAAGCGAAACCTATAAAAGACAGCCAAGGGAACCCATTACCAAGGAAGAAAAACAGATTAAACAATGGGCGGATCACTTCAAAGGACTCTTGAACCGACCATCACCTGCAACCCGTCCAGAAATACCAACAACAGCGCGCACACAACTGCAAGTTGACACCAATCCTCCAACGAGAGCTGAAGTCTTGAATGCAATCAAGCTTCTGAAAGCTGGAAAACAGCCGGACCAGATGGAATACCCCCTGAAGCACTGAAAGCGGACCCAGAGACGACAGCAGACATGCTGACTCCATTATTGCAAAAGGTCTGGAAGGAGGGAAAGGTGCCTACTGACTGGAGGAAAGGTTACCTCGTGAAACTACCAAAGAAGGGCGACTTACGCCTCACTCTGCAAGAACTGGCGAGGAATCATGCTCCTATCGACGCCAAGTAAAATCCTGAGTCGCATCATCCTGGAGAGATTAAAGGACGCACTGGAGACAGAACTCCGACCAGAACAAGCTGGATTCAGGAAAGGCAAATCATGTACTGACCAAATTGCAACTCTACGCATCATCATCACAGAACAAAGCATGGAATGGCAATCAAACCTCTACCTCAACTTTATAGACTTTGAGAAGGCCTTCGACAGCGTTGACCGTGAAGTAATTTGGAAATTACTCGAGTACTATGGCGTACCCCAAATATTCATCAACCTTATTCAACAGCTGTACGACAACGGCACATGTCAAGTGATCCACAACGGAAGACTCAGCGAGGCGTTTGGAGTAAACACAGGAGTCAGACAAGGGTGCTTACTATCACCAATGATATTCCTAATTGTGGTGGACTGACTGGATTATGCGTCAGACAGTGGGAAACGAGAAGACAGGAATATCCTGGACCGACCGACGTGAAGAACCTAGAAGACCTGGATTTCGCGCGTGGATGATTTATGTTTGATGTCACACACAATCGAAGACTTACAAGCGAAAACCGACAAACTGGTCGAAGAAGCAGCAAAGACAGGACTCCAGGTGAACATAGACAAGACGGAGGTTATGAAAATAACCAACCAACAACAAACAACAACAACAGCAACAGCATCCAACGTCAATCACCATCAACGGGAGGGATTTGAAAGAGGTTACTTCATTCACTCACTTATCTAGGGAGCATTGTCTCAACTACAGGAAGTCGGAACGGACGGGAATGTCAAATCGAGCGAGAATCGGGAAGGCGAGAAACACATTCATCAGCCTGAAATCAATCTGGAAATCTTCGTCACTCAGCATCACCAACAAAATTCGGTTGGATTTTCAATACAAACGTAAAGTCAGTCAGTTATTCTATACGGATCAGAATCTTGGCAGGCGGGTCACAAAGAATATTTCTTCGCTCTATACTGAAGATCAGATGGCCGGAAAGAATCACCAACAAGGAATTATGGGAACAAACAAAGCAAGAACCAATCGCCCAACAAATATGCAGGAGAAAGTGGAGATGGATCGGACACTCGCTGAGGAGACCGCTGAGTGACATCGCGCGTCAAGCCCTCGCGTGGAACCCGAAAGGGAAGCGGCGTGTGGGACGTCAGTGCAAGGGTGACATGGAGGAGATCGTGTGAAGAGGAGTTGAAAGAATATGGATTAACATGGATGCAGGCAAAAAGTATAGCAGAAGACAGAAGAAAATGGATACGTGCAGCTGAAGCCCTATGTTCTACTAGGAACCCAAGGGAGCAATAATAATAATATATAATTATGATCAATGAAATGTGCTTGAAACGTCGACAGTAAGTAAGGCTGCGTCAGTGTTTTTTTCCTTCACGTTCCCCACTGGAACATAGGGCTTCAAGCTAGAGTCGTGAAGTTTCTGTAGCAGTGTTTATTTTTTAGGATAGGGTTGCTAGTCTCACGCCCAACCTTTCCTCTTTACAAGCATTATTTCTGGTTCAGCGAGGTAAAGAAGTTCGCCGGTGGCCAAGGATCGAACCCCAGACCATGTGCATGGTCGGCGAGCGTCCTAACCACTGTGCGTAAGTGTGGCTTTATGAAATGAATTCTTTGTATGATGAAAACTATCGCTCAAGAGATATATAGAAGAAGATGGAGATAGATCCCATACACTCTGATGAGGTCAGTGATTGACACCGCTTATGGCTTGAGTAGAACCCCGAACGGGTTCAGGAATGAGGGTGAAATGGAGGAGATAGTATGACAAGGAGATGACAGCTTGTGGGGAATTTTAGGGATGGCTAAAAAGAACTGCAGTGGAGGAAACAAAGTGGAGATGTTCTGCTGAGTTCACTCGGAATCCAAGTAAATTACATACATATATATATGGTGGAGTTATATGCTACCACATTACCCAAGTTTTACTCTAATACTGAGTCGTGTATTCAAGTAGAAAGGACAATAAACCATCTTCAGTGGCCATCTAAAAAAGCAATTTTTCTTAAAAATGTAAATGTTTTCATCAAAATTTTTGTATAAATTGGATAATCAATTAGTTAAAGCATAGTAATCACAAAAGATTCATTTCTAAATAACTTACTTGCATTCTCATTGTTTTCTTGGTGATTGCAGTAAGAATTCACTTTATATTTTCCAATGCCGGATGAGTACTACAAATAAAGTGCTTTTCTTAACATAACTATCAGAGTCATTATACTAAATAGACATTATTTAAGATATAATTATTATCAATCACATTTCCGTTTCTTCGATAGAGATAAATTTTTCACGTGATAGTCGGACCTTCGAAGAAGACTCATTCATTAAGTACTTATTTCAAACGTATTTAACTCTTACAGGAGCTTACACCAACAAGATTAAATCAGAAATGATGAAGAAGATTTGAAGCTGAAGTAGATGATGGCATTGGTGGAATAATGTTCTCTGACCTCGATGCTTCAACTGCGAAGCTTCTATCTTTAGCACAGATTTCCATAGGACCTTTATCAAGAATGAACGAGAACGACTAAACACTACACAAGGGTACGTAACGTTGACACTGTGTCATATAAAAAGAAATAATTATGGACATACATACACCAACAGTTATTGAAAACCGCTCCGTCAGATATTGAAAAAATATTCATTTCCCTATCCAAAGTTAAAACAAGCAACAAATACTGTTAATAGAGCAGGATTAAATGAATTCATCTAAATTCGGTAGAATTACTCAGCTGAATATTCTACATGCAGTATGACAAATATCCTATTACAAATATACTGGGAGGTATTTTACTGATAAGGGAATACACTGCACTGAATCAATCAGAGGAAACGATAGGTGCTAACAGTGTGCAGGCCTAGTCGAGATAAATAAGAGAAAAAGTGTATGAGAGATTCAATTAGAACAATAATGGATCGCTGTTCAGTCGCATCTTTATAACAGATAATCAATTATCCGAGGGAAAACTTGAAATTATCAGAAATTGCAGATCGAATAATAACGCTAATGAAACGAGTCAAGATAATTATTATTGTTCCCTTGGGTAACCTCTTTCAAATCCCTCCTGTTGATGGTGATTGGCGATGGATGTTGCTGCTGTTGTTGTTGTTATTGTTGTTGGTTGGTTATTTTTATAACCTCCGTCTTGTCTAAGTTCACTTGGAGTCTGTCTTTGCTGCTTCTTCGACGAGTTTGTCGATTTTCGCCTGTAAGTCTTCGATTGTGTGTGACATTAAACATAAATCATCCACGCGCGAAATCCAGGTCTTCTAGGTTCTTCACGTCGGTCAGTGCATGATATCCCTGTCTCTTCGTTTCCCACTGTCTGACGCATAATCCAGTCAGTCCACCAGAATTAGGAATATCATTGGTGATAATAAGCACCCTTGTCTGACTCCTGTGTTTACTCCAAACGCCTCACTGGGTTTTCCGTTGTGTCAAGATAATGATACTGATAAAAGATGGTTTTAATTGAGTCGACAATAACAACATTAATAGTACTAACAATAAATAAGTTAAAAATGTTACCATGTTGGATTCGAAATAATCAACTCTTCCTTCTATAAACAGAAACCAGGTCTATCAACTCTAATTGCGAAAATTTGGATCCCCCCTTCATTCATATCGTTTTCTATTAATGATAATAGCTTCATTCTGAATAAGTGCGTTTGTATATATCACAGAATTTTCAACGAATTCCACTACAAGGTGCTTACTGCATATATATAGAATCTTTAAATAATATAATAATCGGTAGTACATCATCTGAAGAAATATTATAACAGCCGAAGTACACTACAGTGTGACTGCATGATGTGCTTCCTCGATTTCCATCGAAAAATTCCTAGCGGTTGGTAGAAAGTGGTTTGAAGTTGTACACGAGTGACAATTAGTAGATTAGAAGAATTTAGAGTGGAGTAAAGGACAAACATTTTGATGGATAGAAGATTTCGGTAGCAGACCACCGTGTTTTCATTTATTTGGACTCGACCTTTAAAACATTCTCACTTATCGTTGCATGTGACTGATCAGTCATATATCTCCCAATGTATTTGTAATAGCATATATATCACACTATATGTAGAGTACTAAGCCCAGTATTATTATTCCCTTGGGTTCCTAGTGGAACATAGAAGCCAGACAGCACTTCTGCATTTCGCACTGCCTTCTGCACTCCTCTTCTGTTGAGCCTACGATGGCTCATAGTCTCTTATCTTCTTCTCACACGATCTTCTCTAAGTCACCCTTGGACACACGCCCAGCTCATCGTTTTCCACTCGGGTCTCCTTCAACAGCCTGGAACTCGATGTTATACAATGGTCTCCTCTGCGTAATTCTGATCCGTCTTTATTTTCTCCTAAATATTTGTTGAGCAACAGGTTTCTGATTCGTTCCTTCACACAGTCTCTTGTTGCTCATTGCTTCTGGCCATCTGATCTTCATCAGTACGGAGCGAATGCAGCTGTTGATAAAACTCTTCATTGGCCTTTCAAAAATTCACTCAGTTTAGTAACTCTACTGAAATTAGATGAATTCAATAAATCCTGCTTAGCTGATAGTATTTGTTGCTTCCTGTTAATGATGATAATTTGAAATTTTTCGTTTTTATAACGTTTTATTTTGTGAAAAGAGGTTGAAATACCTTGACAATTACTCTCTATGGGTTATTATTATTCCATAAGGAAAAGACGTAGACAGTGGAGAAAATTTTCTTTTCGAAGATTCATTTTTCCTAAGCTGCACAGTCGTAATTATATTTAATAAAAAATTCATCAGACCAATCAGAGACTCGAAGGCGTGTTACTTAATGTAAGGTGTAGTCTAAAAGGTGGGGGGGTAGAAGTTGGCATGACGTCACAAGTGGGCAGCACTTACCTTACAGAAAATTGAAGAAAAATATCTCATGGACGTCTTCGGAAAGAATGGATATCCATGGAGTTTCATCAGTAGACGTTTACCCGTAAGACAACCTACCGAATCGAAGGTCCTCAGGGAAAGTACAAACTAAATCGCCCTACCATATGTAAAAGGCATCACAGAGATCACAGCAAGACTCTTCAAACCTCTAGCAATTGATGTCGCACATAAACCAACAAAATCACTTCACTCATCTTTGTGTCAACCAAAAGACTCAACAGCGAAAGAAGATAAAACCAATATCATTTACAAAATAAGTTGCAGCGACTGAGAAAAACACTATATTGGCCAAAGTGGATGTCCGCTTCGTCTTCGTATCCGTGATCATAAACTAACCGCTAAAAGACATGACATCCACTCCCTCATATCGCTGCACACAGACAACCACGGACATCAGTTCGACTGGGACAACCTTCAAATATTAGACAGAGGAAACACCAAGAATACCATTGAATTTTTAGAAGACCGCCTAGTATTCCAGTGAATCGTCAAATAATAGGCATATTGACATAGACAAAATATACCAAGTATAAGAAAGGAAATCTCATAAATAGAAAGGGTCAAACTTCGAGTCAAGGAAACTATCAGTACCAAGTACAAGTAGCCTAAAGGGCTGTGAAAACACACAATAACAACCAGTCATTTTCAAGGTCACCGGGAGAGATGACTAGTAAACTCGTGGAGAGTTCTAAAGGCTTACTTCAAATTAAAGTATGTGCTCTAAACGTTGCCTAGGAGGGCAATGAAAGCTTCGCTGATAAATTATCCAGCTTAGAGAACACAACTACATCAAAATAAGTGTGAGAAAATGACTAATCAGCATAGTTGTGTAGAGTGGACAAGAACTAATGGAAAGACGATAAAGTGTTCTTATAAAATCTGTGTGAAAAGCGCAGTGTTATTAATGAAGCGTAATTGAGGGATAATAAAACAAGGTTGGTGAGAATAATAATGATAATATTTAACTTACATAACAAAAGGAAGCAAAATTATAGTGAGAAAGCTACTCTAGCCACACTAGGGCTAGGGAATATATATGGTACTTTTGAATGCAGAGGTTCTGTGTCAGATCCCGAATAGCCAATGATTCAACTATATACGGATAGCCTACTGGAAGTCCTTTCGTACGATATTGAGGGACTCTGTGTTTACCAGTGTGAAGCCTTCAAGTAGGGGTGCTTGATGTCTAAAGTTGACAAGGTGGTATTTCACTAAGTAAATACCATTTTTACTTAGTTATTTAATACAAACTCTTCACTGTGATCTGTGAAATATATTCAAAGGAATAAATTTAGTATTATTCTCACTATGGATCCTTCTCAGACTTTCAAAATTGTTATTAACAGACTCGAATGATAGCTAAGTTCTTCACTGGTCATGAAGTTTCATTTATAAAATGATAGATATGAAGCTAATTTATTCTTACTTTCATTTAGGTAATCACATCATACTGCACCACATTCAAGAATTTACCAAAACTTCATAATCTGAAAGGGAGTTTGCCATTGTCATACTAAAAAGTTTACTCGCCTTTGCTTACCTGATATGTAGGACATTTATTTTTGTATGGATCTGTTCCTCCATAGTAACTTGCGTTTTCAGCTGCAAATGAGTCGTTACCGAAAAATTGATACATGCGTGGCAGTTGCTCTGGATATATACCTATTGAACAACTGCCGTACGAATATAGATCTGTACAAATAACGTTTCCAGGATCATTACAGTATGGTGAAATATCTTTTTGCCTAGATTAAAAGAGAATTTCATACTATGGTTAATTTAGAACTGTAAATGAAAAAAAGGCAAATGAAACAACGACAGCTCCTTGGAATATCTGCTTCTATAACATTAGTTTTACTGTCCTTAAAGGTCGAATCGGCACTCGCTTATCCACATTCAGCTATTCTTGATCAAACTGCTTCACACTGATTGATATACTTTAACTTAATAAGTTTTCAGGCTTTCTAAATGCCATTTCATCTATTTTTCAACTTGTACGCAATTATCATTGGCTCAGTTTTGTGATGATAGCATTATTTCGTAAATTGAATTCAAATACATAAGAAGGAATCCGCTTTCAAAGGCAGCAGACACATTCTAATTTTAGAACTTTCGGATGACTCCCTCTAAGCATGCAACAATTCGAAGGTGCACTAAAATACTGACTTTCTAACTTATTGGCTCTTTAACACCTCTTGTGGTGAGAGCAGCCTGCTAGCCAATTGGTTGACATTAATCTACGTCAATGTCTAGGTCACTAATATGGGCCTTGAGAAAATATGAACAAGGCTTTTTCAACAACTAATCATAGCAAACTTAAACGTGGGCAAATATGATTCGCAGATAGATGGCTCCACTTTCCGAGGAACTCGAAAACAACCAATCAGAAGACTGCGTTTGTCTACTTGACTAGGCTATAATAATGTATGTGAAATTTATATAAATACGTGTTAATTTTCGTAATAAAACGACCTGTTGCCTGGCCCTTGTCTTCTGTTGTTACACTCCACTACGTGGAATTCGGTCAGAGGAGATTACTAAATCATATAATTTTACTGACACTCTAGTGACAGATAAATTCAGAAGAAGTTGAATTCAGTCAACGAAATTAAACCTGTAATAAATAAGTTCAACTTACATGCTTTTCTGTATATCAGCGTATTCATAACAACTTTTCCGCACAAAGTCACAACCAAGACCTTTTCCAAAGTTCCACTTCTCCGCGACTTCATAATTAACATTATACCATCTAGTGAAATTTCACCAATAAAGAATAAAAATCTAATATATTTCTCAGTGATAGATTTCATGAGTGATCATTTTCAAAGCCGTCTGGTATTACAAGTCCACCTCAGCAATCATAACCTTGAGATGGTAACATCATACAGCTAACTACCATCATCACCACGAGCTTGTTATTATTACTGATATCTTTCATCTGGAGTGCAAAATAGGGCTGCACCAGCATTGTATGCCGTTTTCGGCGTCATTTTCAACTGGCTTCCTGACTGCCGAAAAAGCTTTAATATCCTCCTTCTCCAAGTCACTTTCAGACACCCAACTTTCCACTTTTGATTTTGATTCCCCTCATGCACCTGGTACGTGATATCACCTCGAGATTTGTATCCTCAGACTATATCCAATCCAGCTCTGCTTACTTCGCTGTATTCTGCAGTCAATAGGTCCCTTTTTGCCTAACGTCATTAACGGGCCATTCAGTCTACAACATTGAGTAAAGACAGATGCTGATGAACGTCTGCAGTCTTTTGGAAGTAATTCTGGTGGCGTGTGCCAACTCTCTCCTGCATATAGAATTACTGATCTAAAACTAATTCTAAAGATCCTGACTTTGTTACTTATGCCAAGTGCTGATTGCAGAGTAATGTAGACTTGTGTCACTTTCATGACCCCATCATAACAGGCTTTCACATCTTCATTCGTTGAAATGAAACAGTTCAGGTGTCGATAATGGAATGGAGAATTTACTTTGAATCCATACTGTTGAAAGTAAACGCTGCTTGTTATTACTTATGAGTTGTCCTTACCACAACTGACTTTTCTGTGTTTGCTTGAAGTCCTATCTTCGCTACAAACTTAACGGTTGTCGCTTGTCGATCTTCAAAATTTTGCCGCATGTTGCACTGAGCATCAACGAAGTCCAAGTCTTCCAGAGTCATTTTTCAGCACATATTGTGCTCCCAGTACAATCTATGGCGTGACTTTGTCCAACAAGACCAAAATTGTCATCAGTGATGATGAGTAGCTTGTTATACTCCTGTCTTCCCTTCAGAGGACTCTCTGATTTTTCTGTCATGATTTGCCTAACATGTGGTGTAAACATGAAGCTGTTGAATGAGGGTGATATATGTTTGTGGAATCCCATAATTTTGGAGTAATTTCGAAATTACTCCACAGCCAGAGCTGTCAAACTCCTCTTCAAAGTCAATGATGCTGAGGTAAAGATTTGACTGCGATTATATTCTGTGTTATATGATGATACGTTGTGCGGTAAATTAATCAGCAGACAATCTGCTTTTCATGAACCTGGGTTGTTGCGATAGGAGTTTTGCACACAGAATATCTTGAAGCCTCCCCAAGACGATGCGACTTAATTTTTTGTAAAGGTTGAAGTCTCTCTTCTTCGAGATTTTGACTAGGCTGTCCTTCCAGTCAGTAGGTACCTTTCTCACCGTGTGTACCAGTGGGGCTAGCATATCCGATGTAGTCTCCCACCCTCAGTCTTTATATGCGATTTACATCTAGTACTACTGCTTTCCTAAATGAATTTCAGTAAGTTGTTGGCATTTAAAAGTTTCAACCCTTGTTAGATAGTGGGTGTTCACTAGAAGACCTTTGAATGCTGGTGGCATTTCAGGACCCCTAAGAGATAAAATCTAGCTTGAGAGTCCCATCAACCCATCATCTTTGTTTCACGTCTTTGGCGATTAGGTTTCTCTTCCTGCACAGAGACCTGGTTGTCGATATGGTTCCGATTGCGTGGCAAAAGTAACTTTTTTCTGTTTAGCACTTTTTCTCAAATCCCTGATTAGGAGCTAAGTAGGTTATACTCAGTTTCTCTGCTCTCTGTTCACCTCTTCATTATTTCGTCTTCTTACTGCAAAACATTCTTCCAGTAACAGTTGCTAAGTATCCTTAGACGTCCACCTTTTGTCCTGCTGCGTCTTCTTGCCTGCTTAGAACGAATGTATAGGTTCCCCTCCATGTCGCTTTCAGACACTTCTCATGTCTAAGGTTTGCTGGATGGTGTTGTCTAATATTTCTCACAACTACTTTGAAGGTGTTCTTTGAATCTCCCTCCTTTAGATTCTGCAAATGGAATTTGGATTGTGATCTATCTCCACCATCGTTGAGGGCCTTCAAATTGTCCTTGAATATTCACTGCACTATGTAGAGTCTGAGCCGACATCTGTTCCTACCATGTATCCAACAGGCGTCTTCTCCTCTTTCTTGAGATTAAGATGAAGTCTATGTGGTTTTTGATGTTTCCATTAGGCGAAACCTGTGACGCTTTGCATATGTTCTTGTGCTTTTAAGTGCTGCCTCCAGTCGCCAAGTTGCTGAATGCACGGAAGTCTGTGAAAGTTCCCTGTCTTTAATTATTTCATGAAGTTCCTCCAGACGCATGCTAATTTTTCCCCCGGTGTTTTCTGCTCCCAGTTCGCTTTGCATTCATATGACTTGTTAGGCTTTTGATGTCCCAATCTGATTAGAGTCTTTTCTATTAATCTTGGCAGTCGTCTGCAGAATTCTTCCTTCTTCTCCCCTAGTTCTGTAATGTTCGTAGGCATGTAGCATTGTATAACTATAATTTTCCTTCGTTTATAGTTGAATCCTTCTGTAATGATTGTGAGGTAGACTAGTTCTGGATACATTAGAGCCTTCAATGTTATTGTTGTTATGATCATGTCCGTACCCTCATTGCGTTTGTTTATGTTGTCTCGATGACCATAGTACACTACTGATTCTCCAGTTAATCGAGTTCACAACGGTACTTGATGGTTCCACAGAATATATTTTAGTTCATCTAATTGTGAGGAGAATGTCTCGAAAGTTCTAAATGCCAGTCTCAGTGACCTTGCTAAAATACTTAGAACACTAGTGTGTAGTGAGGAGCATTTTGTGCCAAGTTATGCACATTTTAATTATTTCGTCTAAAATTCTACATTGAATTTGCTCTAAAACTTCCCAAATTATATTGTGAACGAAAGAACTTTGACCTCATTTTCCCTTGATTAACTATAGTGTCATGCCACTTAAACTATCTGTGACAGTATCAGTTAAGCAGAGCAATGATAGCATAATGTGGTGAGTGCCATACTGACTAAGTGTCATGTCTTCTCCAGGAATACTGGATAGCTGATGGATGGATTAAATGATGAAGAGGGGAAATGAAAGATCTTCACGAAATAAAATAGAAAATATGAGGGGAAGACAAAAAAGGCAGAGTATGGAGATTTAAATGTATCCGTTTTCCGCCAAATCTGTACATCGATTCACCAATGAATGATTAAGCTATCAAATGCTAACCTGTTCTGATATTACATACAGTGTAAGGATCACCGTGTGATGAAATCGAGTATATGCGTTTTTTCACCCAGTTAACACAGCCCTTCACTTGTGTGATGTCTACCAATTGGAATGGATTTATCTTTAAATCTACTACCTTAAAAGCAAAGGAGATGAGTTATTTATCATCACAATCCGAATAAAAAAGGTAATACAATAAGATGCATTGTTAATTTGACGCTTTACTTACCCAGAATCTTCAAAATATGCAAGCGTAATCGGTGAAGTTAAGGAATTAAGGTCACTACTGCTCACCATTGTCTCACCCTGGTAAATATTTGAAAAAAATGAAATCATATGGTCTAATAAATTCACCATATACCTACCATCAAATAAATTAAATATATATTAATAATTTAAAGAATATTAACAAAATCATGTTTAGTCTTTAAGAAGGTAACTGTTAAAGTATCCTGAACACCTACTCCATCTTAGCCGTTCAAATAAAAACGCTTACTCTAGATTGATTTCTCTGTGAACATAAGAAATATGATTTAAAATGACTTCCAGAAGTATTTGAAGAAATAGCACCCTAGTCATTGAACTAATTTGAGTGGAAGTATTTAGGACAGCAGTAGAATACACGCCAACCACTCGTGTGGTCCATGGTTCGATTCCCGATCGACACACTCCTAAACTTCGTTTAATCGGTAGTAAGCTCAGTAAACAGGGAAGGTTGGCGTGAGGCTGGTAGTCATACTTTGTACTAAGAGAGGAATTATACAACTGCTGTAGAAGCTTCAAAACCGAAACTTGAGGTCTTATGTTCCATTTAGATTGCCTTGGAGGAAAAATAGAAATAAATAACATTTTAGGACAGAAATTTCCCACATTGTGTTTAAATTTTCCAGCCTGAATAATTTACTATGCTTTTTGTGCCTCCTTGTAAACGCCTGAACAATACTCATCAGAAGCTGCAAGTGGCTGTTATTAAACGTTATTCTACATCGAAAACGCTTAGCAGTTATAGAAATTTTGAAACTAGGACAATGTATACTCAAAAAGTGAGAAACAACTCGTGTGGTTCAAGCATTTCCATGAACAGGTAATGAGAACCGATGGGGAATTTAAAATCTCTCCTGGATCAGTCGATAGAAATATCAGCAAGTGACTGTCTCTTTCCTCTCGTCATATCAGTAGTATACTTTGAAAGGTAATTATTTTTTTTCAATTATTTCTAACCCTACTACCTGCTATTATTACCTTATCTCTTTAGGACTTTAGAATACTGTAGTATAATAACATGGTGAAGTATAATACTGCCAAGATGTACAAGTTTCGGAAACCAAACTGTCGTTTTTTTTACAGCTACTCTCCTATATATATATATATATATATATATATATATATATATATAATCAGACAGCGACGTTATTCAAGCGGTATTTTCAGATATAAAAAAGATCGGAATTCAGAATATTGAGGCCGAAACTATGCTTAAGTTAGTTAAGTTAATAAAAACGTACATACGCATCGTTGCACATTAGAAAGTTTCATCAGGCTTTATTTTAACAATCATGTGATGAAAATAACTGTATGTTTTAAAAACAAGAACTGTTGGACAACAACATACCGAAAATAGTCTGCTTTCCCAGTGTGAACCCATTCTTTCAGTGAAACCCTCATCTTCCAATTCACCGCCTTCTAGTTCCTTGCATCCGAAATGTTGTTGAGATAGTAGCTTCAAAAATTTTACCATCAAATGAAAGTTTTCAATCAGAATACTTATAAAATTTTATATTGTAATATATTCCATCCAGAAAAGCAGCTTGTTAAGAATTATTTTCTATTTTGCTAAGACAGCATATTTATTTGACTGAAATTTATATTTCCCGTTTACAGTACAAGTTTTCTTCTGATGCATGATCGTTTCGGAAGGTAATTGTGATCAATGAACCTAAAGTTATATTGTGCTGCTAGACGAAAGCATCAGAATAATCTATCCAGGTTTTATTATAATCACCACCTTATTATCAGTTTTATACACATACATATTTGATATACTTATTTGATGTTGTAATAATAAACAGGTGATATTCGTGAACAATTTACTGCTCATAACCACACCAGTCAGTTCACAGCACTAGTTAACTCTCTTTCAGTGATTTGATTATCGGTGAAAGAATTCAGTTGAAAAAATTTTTCACTTACTAGTATTGTATTCTTGTGTATTACGTCAGAAGGTTTATCTAATACGGAATATTTGAAGGAGTTGACTGTCATGGGTCCAGTAGGTGCTATGTTACTGACTTACGTACACACCTAAGTTCCACCTTGACTAGCCAGGCTACGTAGTACTCTGGAGTGCTTTATACAAGGGGATGCATGATACAACCAATGTACTCAGCTCTAAAAGAACAAGTGAACTAGTAAACTGATGCTGAAGTGGCACAGTGTGACAGCTTGTCTTTCAAGTAGTGGTTGAATGGTTTCTTGAAAGAAAATGACACTCGTAGGCTGAAGACGAAATAAGGTTTACTCAGAGACTTCGAAAGCCATTTATGGAGAATTTCTGCTTTGGTATCACTTATGAATTCGAGATAAAACAACAGCATCTTTTTGGGAGCTACTCTGACCTGTTCAGAATTTTTCTCTGAATTCAGACTCTTGTCTATGAGTCTGGGTTGGAAACCTTCTTAAATGAAGATTCCTCAGAGATTTTGCAGTTCTTCATCAATTGATTCCTTGTTACATATTTTCCGTATCCTTGAGGTGTGTATATGACTCGGTAACAGAACATCCTACGCAAGGTCGGATCAAACCTCTCAAAGTAGGTGAGAACAAGGTATCTGGGGCACTAGCTATGCAGAAGTTTAACCCAACCCTATATAATCAAAACGAATATGGAATAATAACTAACCAAAAGTGTCTGAATCCTACTTTTACATTAGTTAATATGCATATGTGTGTGAAATTCCTTCAGTCTATCTCATTCTCTTGACGGTGAGCAGTTGGAAATTCCACATTTTATGACTATTTTTTCTCTTGCAAGTATGACTTATAGATTACAATGGTCTATCAGAGGCAACGTTAGAAGGCAATCCATTATATTCTTATAACACGACAGAAGTGTAAAAACCGTTGGCGATTTTAAGGTCAAGGTGATCATATCTTTCATCAGTAATTTCGCCTTAGCTGGCCAGTGGTGTTAGTTATTGTTTTATGATGCATATCCTATCGTGAGAGTAAGCACCTTCAGCAAATACATAAGTTACTGCTGCCTTTAGATTCAGTATCTTTTCTTCAATAAAATTTAGACAACAGGACTTTGTTTTATATGGTTGATTACCGTTACGATTTTAATGTAAAACTACACATTAACGTAAAGCCTGTGCATCGGTAGCGGTGAGAACTCTCGCCGACAATACACATGGTCCGGGATTCGACCTCCGGCCGACGCACTCCTTTACCTTGTCTGGCTGGTAGTAATCCTGATAGAGAGGGAAGGTTGGGCTAGGTGAGACTAGCAACCCCATCCTGTAAAAATAAAAACCACTCGTACAGAAACTTCAAACCTCTAGCCTGAAGTATTTTGTTCCACTGGGAACGTAAAAGAACAAAATAACGTAGAGCAGATGAAGAGGAACAGTCTGAAAACAAATATATTTCTTCGCTAGATTTGTCGGTTCTTCTAAATTACTAGCAAGTCACGAAAGATCACTTGATAATGATATTGGTGTGTGGTAAATTACCAACATGTGAATGAAGACATTTACCGTTTTTATAACCATCTGTGTTTTTACTCATTTCTCCGTATTTAATATTGGGCTTTTCAAACACAGCTCACCACGTTTTTTGAAACAACTGACTTCATCCTGTTGAACTGTAAAGTATACGATTAATTGACAAGGTTTCCTCTTAAAATATCTCAAAATAATGCACATTTAAAAAAAATTAAATCTTACCTTCACTTTAGGAGTAACTATCACAGTGGCTGTTTTTGTAAAGTTGCCTGCCGAACTTTTCCAGTTTCTTTTGAAAACATTAACAGTTCCTGTACTGTTTACAAAATTAAAGTAAAATTAGACCGTTGAAGGAAAATATTTAAAATGAAATCAGTGAGCTATTAGAAAAACGGAGACAATTACTAACCAAGACTCAAAAAATGTGCATATGATTAAAAATGATAAAGAGCAGATAATTATACATTTCAGATGTGTATATCTGTAGCGCGTGCTACTGATAATATTTGTCAGTAGTATATAAAGAGACATTCGTCAACCGAAGAATATCAGATAACAGAGAGATAGATTGAATGTCAGAGAAAGAAAACGTCTCACCGTTGCGGAGAATCATGAGAGACGTGAAAAAAACACAAAGAAACACAATGTGAAGGACAAAATCAGCACAACACGGAAGATCTGTGCAAATGGTGATTTGAAGATAAGGTGTACATTATTTCGTTATATAACGATAATTGCAAAGTATTGATGGTTGCATTTCGACTTCAATCAAGAGATTAACGAAAGGATAAATCCAGCGTAAAAGAATGAACTGATTGTCTAAGGTATCAAGAACGGTGAAACTAAGGGAAGAAAACTGCCTACGAAATACCGTAGGTTTCCCTGGCCTTTGGTAATATATTTCGTAAATTCAGTAATACTCCCTATTTGGAGACTTTATGTACTTCAGGATTTGTGTGAAAGTACACTGTCGTCAAATCGAAGAATAAAGTGTATCAAATATGGAAGTCATTAGGCCTGAGGATCTGTTCAGAGTACTCTTCTTGAGGTCTGATCTATAAAAAGATGTTTAAAAAGACCATTTAGGAATTGTTTGTAGGTTTATTTTACATTTTATTTACATAGAAACTTAATAACTGTAAACTTTTGCTAACAAAAATGACTCTTAACTATTTCGAGAAGTAGCACGAGACTTTTTGGCTGTCATTCATATGAAATAGGTCAGCTACAAATTGTATAATCCAATCAGATTAAATCGGATCCTCTGTGTACGTGTACGAATACAAGTATCCTCATGAATGTACAACAGAATACATTATACCCTTCACTTTATAGAGGCATAGAAGCCGTGAGTATTTTAAAGAGAACGCTTAGAATTCAAATTCACTTACCTTGGTTGATATATATACCCAACTTTCGTGTATGGCTTCCTTGTTAGAGGATTCCGTGGTGTACGTGGATCACCGTTTTTCTTACGCATAAACGCGTAGTTTAGACTTGTAAAACCCTTTTAAAAATAATTGAACGTTGAAATACACATTTTAATTTATCTGATGAAAGAGTGAATTAAGATTAATCGTAAATATCGCATGATTCATCTTCATTACTTCCTAATATATATATATATATATATATATATAATGCATTTCAGTTTCATTATTGTGTTTTTATGTTCTTAAATATGGCTTGACAGGTTCAGAAGAGACACACTTATCTGGTTAAGTAATAGATCTGTACTGTTGATAAACTGGTAAAAATGTCTAATGCTCAAATGAATTAGCATTCTGCAGTTTACACAATTCTTCAGCTACGCACAGCACAGGCTAGGATGTCAAACCAGAATTGGGAAGACAGGACAGACATTCATCACCCTGAAATCGGCTTGGGAACCTTTTGCACTCAGCATAGAGAATACAGCTCAGATTTTTAACATCAATGTTCTAATCACTTCTTTGATATGGGTCAGAAAATTGGTGCATGAGTCACGAAAAGCTCTTGTAACACGCTACTACAGAATTTTATCAGCAGATGTCTCCGCTTCAAACTGAACATCATTTGGCCAGTCAGAAGGAATTATCAGCCAGATACTTCTTGCGAACGGACTGATCATGATGCTGTTCCTCAAGAAATATTCTGAGGAAAATATAGGTGGATCGGAAAACCCTGAAGAGACGGTCGAGTGACATCGTGCCTGAGGTCATCACTCGAGTAGAAACCGAATGAGAAATAACGATTATGGAGTCCAAAGGTGATACGGAGGAGAACATGTGAGAAGGAGATGAGATTATATGGACAATCATGGACAGTAGACAACAGAACAAAATGGAGTGTGTTAGTGAGGCCCTATTTTCCACTTGGAACCCCAAAAGAGAATTGCCTTACAGGGTGTATTCCTTACAAGAAAACCAAATGGTGAAATAAAGTAAAATTTGCATAGGAAAAGTACATGAACAGCACAATATACACATTTTCATAGCATCGTTCCTCTCCCGTACAAAAGAAATTTAGCAAGGACCATCAGCCACATGGTTACAGCTATGTGCTCAGAAGAAGTAATTGAAGGTGAACTAAGCATTGTATCTGACACCTTGATTGAAAATGGCTATCCTGAAAAATTCATCATGAAACACATGACAAAGAAAGCGGAAAAGGACTACTCACTATCCATAAACAAGAAGCCGTTATACATACGACCGCAATTCAAGGGCAATATACCTAGCGAAATAATTGCGAAGAAGTTGAGAAAATCAGTTCAAAGAACTTCTAATGCTTGCAAAATACAAGTCTTATTTTCTACGCGATTGATGGTGATCCCTCGATTGAAAGATGAAGTACCAAGAATATCCACTTTCAATTGTATCTACCAATTCAACTGCGCTTTTGGAGCGAGTTACATCAGCCGTTGCTCTAGGACATCGATTTTTCCTGCTTGAGAACACCTCCCACTATGGCTAAGTAAAGGTGTAGTGAAAACCATTAACACTTCGGTATTGGATCATCTGGTGTAAACCGGCCACAAACCCAGCGTTGAAGAATCCTTCTCTATTGTCTACAGAGTACCAAATAAATTGCCACAAACGTTTAGGTACCACATGCTCCAAACAACAGAGGCTATTGCAATTCGTGTGAAACAATCACTGCTTTGTGTGCAAAAGAATTAAGTCCGGCCACTACTGCTGCCCTGGCCAGCCTTCAGTGGAGACTTAAATCCATGAATTTGTGTTATTATCTTTCCTAATTTTTCTGACATTCAGTTTATTGTTATGTTGATGCTATCGGATTGTAATCCACTGATATTATTATTGATTCAATGTTATTTAAACAACATTAATGTTTTTCGCAGCACTAATTCATTCACTGTTATTTATATATAACCGTAGAACATGATGATGAAGTTATCGAAAAGTATATTCTTTGTTCAGTAACTATTCTTTCGAAACTTTTAATGGGTATTTTTCATTAATAAATAATGTTCACAATTTCAAAAGATGAAATTTCATCACAGTTTTCTCCGGAAATCAAAATTATTCAGACGTCAATATGCGTGATCTCCTTGGCACTATAAATGGTATTCAAGATGGTAAGCATTAATATATAACACTCTATTCTACTGGTTGATTGGGATCAGTAGTTGTATGCTGTGCTCCCAGAGTTGAATAAATTCAAACAACTCAATTTCTAGTAACTAAAAGCTACAAAGATTGCATCGGTGGCACAGCGGTTAGGACGGTCGCCGACCATGCACATGGTCGGGCGTTCGATCCCCGGTCACCGACGCACTCCCAAACCTCGCTAAACCAGAAATAATGCTGGTAAAGAGGAAAGGTTGGGCGTGAGACTAGCAACCCCATCCTGTAAAATAAACACTGCTAGAGAAACTTCAAGCCACTAGCTTGAAGCCCTATATTCAAATGGGTAACATGAATGAAAAAAAGGCTACAAAGATCTGATGTCAGAATTCTTCGCGATACACACAGGAGACGATTCGCTAACTGAAGTGGAGATTTTATCGTCTCAGAGATAGCTAAACAAGCTGAGTAACAAACAGGAGCACACTGACTTATTATACACTTGTTTCATAATTGTCAGTCGTAAATTTAAACAGGTTCTCATCTTGCCAGTGGATCATGAAATCCAAATTCCCCTACCCCACTTCATGACACTGACAAGAAATGGCAATAGTCGGTTTTGATTCTTTAAAAAATGTCCTACTAATTATATATGCCTTGTTTCATGTTTCATAAGGCTTCTTATCCAATAGGTGTAAGTATTTTGTATACTTTGAAGTTCTTTTCCACAGTAAAGACGATAAAATGCAAGTCATCTATATTGCTGAAAAATTTAGTGATTGTGAAAACAGAGGGAATAACGTGATTGAATCAACTAATCTCACAACGTTTTTTCTTTTCTGTGAACTGCTTTTCAGATAGTTTTAAATCTCACGTTATACTTTCAGTTGGAGAATTAACGTCTAAAGCGTTTTCATTATAAATAAATGACACAGATTGAGTGACTCGTCAAATTCATCGCTTCTTCAAGGAACATTTATGTGTTTGTCACTGAAACTATGAGATTGACGACTGGCATTTCAAGACAATAAGATTACTGAGTCTAGTATAGACAATCATTAGAAACATTGAAGAATGTATAAAGTATGTCAGAAATGGTGATTCAACCTACAGTTTCATCCCTATGATAAAATTATCATCAGTATTATTATACATGAATACTTACAAGAGCATGAGTCATTTCATGCTTAGTAGTTCCCCATAGTCTTCTGTTCTCTGGATATTCCAGTGATGTTTTACCTGGACAGTAGTTCATATAGCCCAAAACTGGTCTGTAGTGTGGAAAGTAGTTAGAAATTAGTAGACTGACAATGATAATATTAAACAAACAGTATGTATATGTGTTTTCAATGTGATGTCGTTGGTTTTCATGTTATTAGTGATATATTTATCAAAGTGTAATTAGGCAGTGATGTATTCTCAAGGCTGATATTGAAAAAAACCGAGGGCTAAGTTATTTCTCTGTATGATGTTGGATATTGTTTGGTGTTCTCTAAGCGTAGATCATTGATGACGGATGTCTACCAGCAGATTTAATGACATCTTCATGAGTGAATTGCTCAAGAAGTCAGCGAAATTTACCATTATTTATACATCATTCTTCTCTACTTTTACAGCCTTCTTCAGCTGTAATCGATGAAAGAGATTTCGCATCATTCGACCTCCAACCTTAAATTCCAGTTAGACACACGAATATTACGTCACTATCACTGATGTGGAAAACATTCTTTTTTAGTTTATTTGGCTGAATTTCAGATTAGAAGAAGAACAATGCCTAAATATCCATGTGCGTCGGTGGCACAGTCAGTAAGACTCTCGCCGACCATGCACATGGTCCGAGGTTCGATTCCCTGCCAACGCACACCTGATATCTATGATCGGCCTGCAAAATTTGGGCTACCAATGTCATATGCTGAAAATTCCACACTTGTACCAAAAATACGGTGTGGAATCAAGCTGTAATTAAAAATTAAAAAAATAAAAATGCAACTGGTATACACGCTTATCTTCTCAATGAATCTAATGCCAGGTGTATTACAAAGTCTAGTGTTGAAAAAACTGCATCACCAAACATACAAGCTTAGGGAATACTGGATAGTTGACTCTATGAAATTACCTTTGAAAGACCATGGATTAGAATACTTCAAGATATTTCATAATTGTATTCATAAACATGTCTCTCTATTGAACAATTCTTCGTAATGATTTCACAACCATCGGTTGTGGAATGCAAACTTAAAGAAGACTGTTAAAAATGTTACTTTATTACTCTCATTATTATTACACAGAATATCTGAACCCACCGGTCCTCTGAATTCCCAAACTTTTATTCAGCATATTCACTAGCATGATTCTGATCAGTACATAGGAAATAGCTCTCAGGCACAAATAACAAATTTAATTGGTGGATGGTGACTAGCAGTGGAATCAAAGATGCGATTTTGTCCTATTTGGGACTGGTCACCCGGATGTACCTGCATTTCCAAGTGAGTGATGATGTTCCCACCTAGGCTCGAACCCAGTGACCATAGTTTCAAACTCCAAAGCGTTATCCACTAGATGAAATATACAAATAACAAATGTTGGATAAAGGTGGAAATATATCAGATATAGATTACAGGTTTCGAAAGTAGATTGTATATATGAAGCGTTATCAATTAGAGACATGCATATAACTAAATCAGACTAACAGGGGATTAGTCATGCCTTAAACAACTCTGAGGAACATTCATTAACTTCGGAACATTGTGAAACAGGTTTGAATATCAGTGGGAATAAAGCTTCTCCTCATAATTACAAATTGGCGTAAAACCTCAAACGTATAGATTACTACCAAATTATCCCATCCAAATTCAAAAATTTACTTGTATCAAGGAAAGAAACTTTTGGAGCACCTCTCCTTTAAGAAATCAGTTGCATTGAGGTACTGAGAAAATATCCTCATAAAAGAGAATAAGTTGATTGTTAGCCAGTTGTTTAACACATGTTAGCTGAACTGGTTCAAGCAACTATCCTTATTGGTGATAACTACACCCTTAAGGAAGCTTCCTAATAATTGCTTCTTCAGCCGTTGAGAATGAAGTTTCATTTTATTTTAGAATAGGGTTTAAATGGAATACGACCGTTACTTCACAACCTACCTGTCGTTCTCAGGGTCTAGGTAACATGATGCTGCATGAGCAAGAGTAGTTTCATCACATGCTCCTGAATTGCTGCTGTCAATAATTAGAATAAAATCGTTTGGGCTTATCCCAGAACCTTTAGGAAAGACCTGATCTAATTTGCCATTGTGCAATTCATAACATTCCTGTTTTAAGAGAAAACATATTAACATATATATATATATATATATATATTAAGAGTGTGAAATATTCTCATATCTTGAATCAAAACTCGGTCTGAACGAAGAGAATATCCTTTCCAATGAATTCTCTTCAGGTTGTTAAAGTTTTAAAATAAAAATCCCCCTGGTGGGTTTCAAGTTATGTAATAAGTCGGATTAGCGCGTGTGTCTGCACATTCCACAATTCTTATCAGCTTGTTCAGTATGGGAGAAATCAAATGCATAAAAGATTCACCCCTATCATACTTCATCAGTATAGGACATCTCGTAGTCGCTAGAATAGTCATCAAGGTTATACGCCATATTTCAAAGTCATTATCGTGCACAGTTTCCTACGACGCCTAAAAATAGCTGAAGATGTTACAATGAGGTCTTCCAAACCGGAAATTTTTATTCAAAAAGGACACTCAGAAGTTGTTGCTATCAAAGTCAAGACTGGATATTTGTTCTTCACTACACGCCTCTACCTGTTTGATTTCAGATATTAATTATTTCATGATGAACTGTTCACATTCTATTTCGCCTTTAATGTTTGCTACTATGTACTCTCTACTCGCCGGATATCGTTATGAATTTAACTGGGGATTTATATCAGCAGATGGAGCACTAGAAATCAGAGAGTTCATTCTAGTTTAGGCCTCTTTGTCGGTACGCACCCATGACAGTACTAAGTGTTGGAACCTTCACCCTTAGGTTAGAGGGGACTTCGTTGACCGTCCACTCACCTTGTTGGAATCCATTGGCTCATGAATCGTAATTTCTGTCACTTGATGGACTTCACTGACTAGAATCCATCGGCTATCTATTTCATCATGTTGCTGGATAGCCAATGGGCTCACCTCGTGAGTAAAATTCCCTGCAGTGACATGGCTGCATGAATCTGAAGAGTCTACACCAGGGAGAGACAGCTATCTAGTACGCCCTAGTTTTCAATGGATCTATAACTGATACGAATCCGTTATCAAACTTAAAGTTAATCGAAGCCCTGTGAACTAGCTCTTGAAAACAGCCCTTTGACAAATATGATATGAGTTGTCAGTTTTCCTTCCCCATAATGTATGATTCTATTGCGACTTACAATCATCCTTGCCTCGTATTTCACAATATTTTATAAGTGCATATATCTCACTATGTTGTGACACAGATACTCTTTATTGTGTCACCCTAAAAACAATTTGTGTCCACTGCATAACTCACTGTTAGTGTAATTACAAATGTATTTTGTAACTTTAAGAACCTGAAAGGAATTCGATGACAAGAATATTTCCCCTTTAGATCAAAATTCGCAGTTTCTGAAGTAGTTTTATCAAAGTGCTTCGGTAGCTCAGTGGTAGAATGATCACAAGCCAGGCAGCTGATCCGTGTTCCATTGCCCGGAAAAGATTGGAAGTGTTGTTAACAACCGCCTTCCGTACAAAACACAACACAGTTGCTAGAAGTTCAAAAAGACTTGAAGCCTTGTGCTCTACTCGGAATGCAAGAAATGATATATAAATACTGAATACCTTTTCAATTGTGGCAATGAAATTTCTCAAGTTATGATAATAAATTTTAACCCTAAATTTACATATTCATACGGTAATTATCAACTTACACTGGTGTACTTATCGGGTATATCAACATGACCACACTTAATAGTTGTCTGACATGGATGCTCTTGGCAAAAAATTGTATCATTTTCTGAGTATGTATAATATGAGTCATCCGTACAAAATCTGTGTAAAAAAAAGGTATGGTGCAATAGAGAAATTCGTGAACTTATAGATTTTACAGCAAATTACACTTAAAACAGTAGCTGAACGTGTTTTGAATTACAGAGGCGTATAAACTAGCAACACAATACTCAGCAAGGAAACTGTTCTCAACATACCTATTATCAAGCTGTACAATCATATATATATATATATATATTCATGGATCGATATTATCATTGTATTCCTTCGGAATCACAACGTGTGGATTTCAAATATATTCCGTTGATTGATGTGTGTAGCCCCGATACAACTACAACAAACAGGAACCAGGTTGAACCTATTTTAGCTGAGAAAAGCAGTCTCGCTCAATGGTAACCAAAGTTAGAGGACGGTTGGTTACAAGATTTCATAAAGGGGCTGACATCGGTTAGAGAACTTCTGGAAAGCCTGAAAGTAATGGAAAGCTGTTTCCGCCTTCCTGGATTGCAACTCTTCATCTGCACATTTAAAAAAATATGTAGATGTAGTTGGTCATCTCATATCCTAACGATTTCTAAGAAAGTGTTCCGTCTAGCCTACTGCACTACAGTAAGAAACTGAGACTATCTGGAATCACCCAACCTCTGCTTTCACAATTTGTCAACTCTCGTATCTTACCTATTCTACTTTACTGCTCCCCGTTAGTCTTTCTTGGGCTACTGAAAAAGGACTATACCATCCTGAGAAGGATGTTGAAGGTAGTTAGTTGGACTAGTGGTGTAAAACTCAGTTAGCTCGTCACTACATCAGTAGAAAGGCATCTGAATACATGCGAAAAATGGTCTAAAGCCATACTCTGCGACCCCCAACACCCCCTCTATTCCCAAATCTCTCCTTGTATCTCATCAGGTAGAACCAGAAATCAGTACAAAATAATATATGCTCGTACAACCAATTATACGATACCAAATTTGGCCCGTGTTCTAAGTGACAGAGACAATGTTAAGCGCAAAATCTATGACTTGCCTTGTTGTTAATAGCATAATTTTGGCTCTTTTATTTCTCTCTTATTTGTACTCTATAGTGAACACCTTCCTATACATACTTAGCTACCTAAATTATTAACATTGGCTTACTTGTTTGTACTTTACTCTATTCTTTCTTTTGTGTATCTGCTGGTTCCGACTAAATTAGAACTATGAGTAATACAAAATTGTCCTGTCATTAACCTTCATGTAACATTGGTTTTGTGTTTGTTTTTTGTTCGGCAATTTTAACTGACAATCTTGGTTGTGAACGCCATTATCACCATCCTAAAAATTTTGTATTATGCAGAATTACTCACACTACCACAACAAACACCGCATTAGAGCTGATAATGAAAAAACAACCTGAAATGTTTATTTTATGATTGTTTAGTGTTGTTCAATCAAATTAACTGATCATCTTGGCGATAAACATTCTTAATATCATTTCACAACTTTTTGTATGATTATAGCTTTATTGTTCACCACGCATAAACATATCATAGCTTCCACTACCCATTCTACTTCTTGGCATATTTTCGCATGTGTCTTTTGTCGTTGTTTTTTATATTTATTTTTTGAAATACTCCTTTTAAATGTTTGATAAAATTAGATGCAATATTGTAGATAAGTGCTGAAAATTCCACACTGTACCACTAGTACTGTTTCTGCGATAAAGCAAATTATCATTATTATTATTATTACACGCCCACCACCAGGATTCGAACTCAGAACCTTCTGGCTACAAGGCGAGCTCATAGACCATGGACCCCATCCAATGGCCCATGAATTCTCATGTCTGCCAATTCACGACATGGCGTGATTGGTAGCCAATTTCTTGATGGTTTATAAGCTCGCCTTGCAACCCGAAGTTGCTGGGTTCGAACCTCACTGGATGTGTACTGATAAAGAGTCCCAAACTAGGATGAAACAGCTGTCCATTACTCCGGTGGTGGTTTTCCAATGACTCTCTAACCGATGTGTCAGCTCATGATGAAATCCTGTAACCAGTCAATCAGATCCCTGCAAACAAATACTTGAAAATTATAGGACGGTGTTTGGCATATCTAGGTAACAGATAGGCAAATCATTTCAAAACACACTAAATCTGGCTAGCTGACATGATGGAATAAGTGGACAGGAACCTGAATTGATTTTTAATTGAATAATAAGTGAAAGCATAGTGAAGTTTCACTTTATCCGTTTTGCTTTATCAACAGAGATTTTCTACCGTGTCATTTTTCAACTAGCATATCTGATACCATGCTTAATCTATAAGTTTGTCCTATTAAAACTCAGGTACATAAATTCTGTCAAGTCCCAGATATTATTCATTCACGTTATCAATTCGACAGACATTCAGATCTCACGCACCTTCAAAATGTTTTACACAAACAGGTTAACTCTGTGCATAAGAATGTACACTTCATTTACAGTTGATTAACTTGCCTTTGAATGTAGAAATTTTTAGACATAGGCCGCCTCACAGTTAACGCTGACTGCCAAAACTTAATAGCTGGTTCTATTATTGTATCCTGTGAATGAAATGAAAGCAATTAAAACAAACGTTGTAAGTAGTGTACGTTAGCGTCTGCTGATATCTTGTCTTGTGAATTAATATAAGTGTAAGATCAATTCTATTCCCATCCTTGAATCAAGTCAACCTGTCCCGGATCAGCCTAGCGTTGTTGCAACCCAATTATCCATGCCTAACGTGTCTATCCCTGCTTGTTTAATGAACTGTGTGTATGTGTTTTTACCGCGATCCGTTTAGTAAAACAGTTGAACTCATGGCCCAATCATAGTATTTTGTGAACTGTTATTTTTTGCTGACCCATGTCTAACTTTGTACTATTCTAAACAAAATTTACCAAGGAAGGTTTAATGTGATGACAAATTGTTTTTGAACGCATAAAGGTGGCTTGAACTTTCTAATTGCTAGGGCTTCTACAAACTTTAGGATACGCCTCAAACACGTTTTATAGATAGGTTTAAAAGATCTGTCAACATCAATTTTATGACCTGTCTCTATAATATGTTTCGCAATAGAAGAGCTAGGTCTCCTGTTCTCACCGTTAATAGGTTCTGATGATTCCATTTGTTTCTGGAGCCATTTTGGAATATGCTCTGAAGCCCTTACTTGCAGAGATCGATGAGTCCTCCCTATGTATGTGTGTCCACACGTACATTCAAATTGGTAAATACAGTGGGATGTGACGTCATTTTTCGCATGTTCGAAGGGCTTAGATAGATATAATGGCTTTACATTCTCTAATATTATGATATTAGCTGCATAAAAAGTCTTTTTAACAGCAGCGTTCAGCCTTTGTCTAGTTATCAAGCTGCTTTGATGTCCCATATAGGGTAGCTTGATGTACACGTCTTTCTTAGGGGCGAGTTGGAGAGTGGGTCTTGGTGTTCTGACTACTTTATATCTCCTGATGAACGTTTCTGGATAATTGTTATCAACCAGAGTTTGTGTCAGTATTCTTTCCTCTTCATCAAGCGTGTCTTCAGTGCATATTCGTCGGATTCTACTGAAGAGGCACCTTACTAAGCCTCTTTTGTACCGAATAGGGCAGAAACTGTGGTAATTAAGATACTGTCCTGTCCAGGTAGGTTTTCTATAAATAGATCTTTTTATTCACCCATCAAGCCGTCGACTAAGCAATATATCTAGGAAAGATAAACAATTATCTTCCTCTTCTACAGATGTAAGTGATATGCTATTCTGAACTTCATTCAGTCGATTTAAAATTGAGGTGGCAGAACAAGGCTTATCACTGATGACTACGATATCATCTACATACCTTCTATAAAGTGGTACATTTCCGATTAAATTCTCCGATAAATTTTCAATGTGTGACATATAAACATCTGCTAAAAGGGGCCCTAACGGACTGCCCATAGCAACACCATCAACTTGGCGGAAACAGTCGCCTTCAAATGTAAACCTAACATTGTTAGTACATAGAAGTAATAAATCCCTTAAATAAGATATAGGGAACGGGATGAAAAAATTGTTTGTGGAAATATAATCACATAAAATGTCAACTGTTTCGAACATGCGATAAATGACGTCACATCCCACTGTATTTACCAATTTGAATGTACGTGTGGACACACATACATAGGGAGGACTCATCGATCTCTGCAAGTAAGGGCTTCAGAGCATATTCCAAAATGGCTCCAGAAACAAATGGAATCATCAGAACCTATTAACGGTGAGAACAGGAGACCTAGCTCTTCTATTGCGAAACATATTATAGAGACAGGTCATAAAATTGATGTTGACAGATCTTTTAAACCTATCTATAAAACGTGTTTGAGGCGTATCCTAAAGTTTGTAGAAGCCCTAGCAATTAGAAAGTTCAAGCCACCTTTATGCGTTCAAAAACAATTTGTCATCACATTAAACCTTCCTTGGTAAATTTTGTTTTGATACCATAGCAGATGTACTATTACCTCTGCTATTTGGTCTAGTGGTCTTCAATTTTATTTTTTGACCTTGAATATGTCCTTTTAACTTGACCTGAGTCTATTTTTCTCACCTCTTACCTCTTTATTAATTTTTTATATATATATTCCTATGACAAGTCCGTGTGTGATCAGATTGTTCGAAATGTGTTGCGCAAATACATTACACGATTCAGACAAATTACGTCTTCTTATTGCTTTACCTAAATTCATAAAGGGAACTAATTGTTTTAAATGTTTTAAATTAGTATAGCCGTGATCTGGTTCATTCCAATGTTATATAGAAATAGACTATCTGCTGTCAAGTGATTTCAGTGTTTCTTCTATACCCATTTTTCATCTTTATCATGAAATGTTTTCAAGAACAAATAAACACCTTCATTTGTAATACAAACTCTTTTTTCCTTTTTCTTCTTTCATTCATTTGCTTTCTGAGTTGAACACAGGGCTTAAAGCATGAATGTCAAAGTTTCTTAACTCTTGAGTTGCTTTTAAGCAATGAAGTTGTTAGCCTCATGCCCAATCTTCATCTTTTTTTTACTGCGTCCATTACTGGCTAGGCGAGGTTTAGGAATGCGTTGGTGAGGAATCGAACCTGTACCACGTGCGTGGTTAGTCAACCATCGACTTGCAGTCTATTTAAATAGCATTTACCTAGCCTCCATGGTTCACATAATGGTATACACATTGACTGGGTATTGGTTTTCAGGAGGACTGAGCACACCTATCCCTGCCTCTTGAGAGACGAGACTGGCATGCAGTATCATCCTGTGACCCAACCACTTGACAGCCCTCTCCCTCGGTGGATCGGGCTTCGATTCCTGGCCACCGACGCACTCCTAAACCTTGCTCGCTAAGCCAGTAATAAGACTGGTAAAGAGGGAAGGTTGGACAAGAGGCTAGTAACCCCATCCCGTAAAAATAAAACACCACTGCTGTAGAAACGTCTAGCCTCTTACTTGAAGACCTTTGTTCCACTGGGAACATAAAGGAATAAATAAAAAAAAAGAATCTTGCCTCCATGATATTTTAAAGACACCAGTTGTCTGTTACACGTTAGGTTTCCTGATTCTGACATTCGTCGATATACTGTCAACACACTGTATAGCGAATTATTTGCCTTCTTAATCATATGAGTTATTAAAAGGGCTGATTAAACATGGTAGAGTTTACCTGTAAGTATAGTGTCAAAGTCCTTTTAGGAATAAAAAGAAATAATTAACTCATTGAAAAAGCAGAAATTCCATTATAAACAAATGCATAGTAATACCTACTTTTAATTCTTGACTGTTAGTTAATTTATTAAACTCCGCCGTGTACTCCGCTTGTATTCTGAGTAGCTGTGGTGTTGGCTTTGCACGACGTTCAAATGAATTCGATGGATACATGATGGCATGTCTCTGTATACGAAGTAAATCAGAGTTACCAGTTATTAAACGTTACCAAGGTGAAATTAACTGGTGTCCCACAAAAGCCAAAACATTCCAAATTTTTCTCAAAAAGTATCAGACATATAAAGGAGATAATGACTTTCACGACGGTCATGGTGAAACAGTTTATTAAGAAATTCCTGTTTTTCTATATATATATATATATACAGTAAATGAAACTGCATCGCTGTGAGTCTAGGCGAATAACACACTTCGATCATATTTAGTTTTAAAACCATATGAAATGAGTTAATAGACAAAAAGTGTTGTTTGTAGCCTGCTGTGCACCAAATTTGAAATTAACTAAAATAAAATGATTTTACAATCCAAATTTTCCAAAAAATAGTTCCTTTGATTTTGTTGACACTAAATGAAGTCATTAAAAGAAGAAGAAAGTCTATTGTCCATGAAAAAAAACACGGTTGAGAAAAAAATTCATTTTCGAATGACAATACCTGTACATCTGTAAAATCATACTGGCATATAGTTAAAGAAAGAAGAAACACTAAAGTGTACATCCTTGGCAAGTAACGTCACAAGTGGACAACAATGTTCCGTCGACTACTGACTAGACAACTTTCCATCAGAAGAACTAAGCTCTTGGGAGATTTAAGTACTTCAGAAAGGGTTAAATTTCAACGTTACAGTTAATGAACTGGAACCAAGGGATATCATTCCTAAAACACAGGCAACATCATGTCCAATAGATAAAACGACAGCAAAAAAGGTTACAACACAATGTATATTAGCACTAAACACAGCAAAACGAAGTACAGAAGTACCTAACAAAATCAGAAAAGCCAGCTCTAATGAATCTCAAACAAGATAAAATCATTGTCATTAAAAAGACTAATAAGGCAAACTCAACAGTAATTATGGATAAGTCCTATTACAACAACAAGAAAGTCATTACCCACATTACAGCGAGTCTTTATAAGTAAATTAAGAAGCTTGTAGATGCAGTAATGAATAGGATTAAGAAATCTTCAGCAGATTTACCATGCAGAATGTAGTCATCACTGAGTGAGTCTGAATGGTGCAATTTAATGCCCCATTGAAACACATAAACCAGGTTACTTCATAATTGATTAAATCAACCTATACTAGTGAAATGTTTCAATAATTTCAATAATTAAACACTAGAGGCATGGCGGCTGACATGAGTGACTTCCAACAACTCATCTTAGTCAATCAGATGTTTCATCTTGTTTATATTATAGATAGCTAATTTCGCCCGTGATTTATATGTGCAAATTCTGTAAGTTTTTGAGATACGGAATGCTCGAAATTTTTGTGATTAGAAAACATATTAAAAATATATAGGCATTGAGGGGGTTATTATAATCCGTAGAATGAGAGATCATATGACTACGACAAACGAATAGAAATAATTTAAAGCGAATTTAAGGATAATAAACATTTGCAGCAACCTCGCCAGATACTAGCTTGCTAGTCTACTAGCTTACTAGTTTTCTCGCCGGTCCCAAGCCCGGGTAAAGAGGGAGGGTTGGGGCGTGGTGCTAGCAACTCCACCCCTGTAAAACAACCAAATCGCTACAGAAACTTCAACGAATAAATATATTAAAAATTCTAAAAACATAAGCAATAGCCTTACTTTTCGCTGGAATCGGGGAAGTGAAATGACGCAGGCTGGTGAAAGCCTTCGGGAAGCCAGTCAGCCGATGTGCCTTCTTTCGATGAAAGCAAAAGTAAGGATGGGTACCTGGAATGTTCGCACAATGTACGAAACTGGAAAGGCTGCCCAGATAGCCGCTGAAATGAGAAGGTACAGAATAGAAGTGTTGGGAATCTGCGAAGCAGATGGAACGGAACTGGAAGGTGCCAACTACCTACTGGAGAGACAGTAATCTATTCCGGCCACCTAGAGGACAACCATGAGCACACCGAGGGAGTGGCCATCATGATGTCACCAACAGCAACCAAAGCTCTCATGCAGTGGGAACCAATCTCCTCCAGGATAATGACAGCCAGGTTCAACTCAAAAGGAAGGAAAGTTACAGTCATTCAATGCTATGCGCCTACAAACGTCTCAGAACAAGAGAAGAAGGAGGCGTTCTACAGACAACTACAAGCAATAATGGACAACGTCCCAAATGGCGATATCAAAATCCTGATGGGCGACATGAATGCGAAGCTGGGAGGAGACAACACAGGAAGAGAACTCACCATGGGTCGTGAGGCCCTCGGTGAAATGAACGACAATGGTGAACTCTTCTCAGACTTCTGCGCCTTCAATGATTTGGTGATTGGCGGTAGTGTGTTCAAACACAAGGATATACACAAGACGACATGGATTTCACCAGATGGAAACACCAAGAACCAAATAGACTTCATCTCAATTTCAAGAAAGTGGAGACGGAGCCTACTGGACACAAGGTCAAGGAGAGGAGCAGATGTGGGTTCAGACCACTATCTAGTACAAGGGACTTTCAAGGTGAAACTAAAAGCCTCGAGGATAGCTGGGGATAGGCCACAATGCAAGTTCAACACTCAATTACTGAAGGACACAACCACAAAAGACACCTTCACTGCAACTGTCAGAGCAAAGCAGGAAACACTACGCGACATCACTGAAGAATCATGCGTGGAAGAACATTGGAAGTCTCTGAAGGCGATTCTCAACGAAACGTGTTCAACGGTTCTAGGAAGAAAGAAGAGACAAGACAAGGAATGGCTCTCAACGGACACTTGGAAATTAATAGAAGAGAGGAGAATGGTGAAAGAGAAAATGATTCAATGCAAGGACGGACAGGAGAAGGAGACGCTGAGCTCAACTTACAAAGCACTGGACAAAGAAGTGAAGAAAAGTGCTAGGAAGGACAAAAGACGATTCTACGACAACCTGGCCACTGAAGCTGAGAAGGCAGCAGGCAAAAGGGACCTGAGGACACTATATCAGATAACCAAATCTCTATCCGGGAAGAGACCAACACAAGCGAAACCTATAAAAGACAGCCAAGGGAACCCCATTACCAAGGAAGAAAAACAGATTAAACAATGGGCGGATCACTTCAAAGGACTCTTGAACCGACCATCACCTGCAACCCGTCCAGAAATACCAACAACAGCGCGCACACAACTGCAAGTTGACACCAATCCTCCAACGAGAGCTGAAGTCTTGAACGCAATCAACTTCTGAAAGCTGGAAAAGCAGCCGGACCAGATGGAATACCCCCTGAAGCACTGAAAGCAGACCCAGAGACTACAGCAGACATGCTGACTCCATTATTGCAAAAGGTCTGGAAGGAGGGAAAGGTGCCTACTGACTGGAGGAAAGGTTACCTCGTGAAACTACCAAAGAAGGGCGACTTAGGCCTACTCTGCAAGAACTGGCGAGGAATCATGCTCCTATCGACGCCAAGTAAAATCCTGAGTCGCATCATCCTGGAGAGATTAAAGGACGCACTGGAGACAGAACTCCGACCAGAACAAGCTGGATTCAGGAAAGGCAAATCATGTACTGACCAAATTGCAACTCTACGCATCATCATCGAACAAAGCATGGAATTATTGAATAGAATTTTTGATTTTCCCGTCGATTGATTGGACCGAAGTGCTCGGTCTCAGGTTGACATGTCGGCTTCTTGTGCAGATGCTTCGACGATGTCTGGGTATTTAATTAGTATACAATTGGTGGATGGTGGCTAGCAGTGGAATCCAGGATGCGCATTTCGTCCTATTTGGGACTCGTCAGCTGGATGTACCTGCATTTCTCAGTGAGTGATGATGTTCCCACCGAGGCTCGAACCCAGTACCCATAGTTTCAAACGCCAAAGCGTTATCCACTAGACCACTTGGGCCACGAGAGCCACCTCTTGTGCAACGGGTCATATTAATTATTGAATTGAATTTTTGATTTTCCCGTCGATTGATTGGACCGAAGTGCTCGGTCTCAGGTTGACATGTCGGCTTCTTGTGCAGATGCTTCGACGATGTCTGGGTATTTAATTAGTATACAATTGGTGGATGGTGGCTAGCAGTGGAATCCAGGATGCGCATTTCGTCCTATTTGGGACTCGTCAGCTGGATGTACCTGCATTTCTCAGTGAGTGATGATGTTCCCACCGAGGCTCGAACCCAGTACCCATAGTTTCAAACGCCAAAGCGTTATCCACTAGACCACTTGGGCCACGAGAGCCACCTCTTGTGCAACGGGTCATATTAATTATTGAATTGAATTTTTGATTTTCCCGTCGATTGATTGGACCGAAGTGCTCGGTCTCAGGTTGACATGTCGGCTTCTTGTGCAGATGCTTCGACGATGTCTGGGTATTTAATTAGTATACAATTGGTGGATGGTGGCTAGCAGTGGAATCCAGGATGCGCATTTCGTCCTATTTGGGACTCGTCAGCTGGATGTACCTGCATTTCTCAGTGAGTGATGATGTTCCCACCGAGGCTCGAACCCAGTACCCATAGTTTCAAACGCCAAAGCGTTATCCACTAGACCACTTGGGCCACGAGAGCCACCTCTTGTGCAACGGGTCATATTAATTATTGAATTGAATTTTTGATTTTCCCGTCGATTGATTGGACCGAAGTGCTCGGTCTCAGGTTGACATGTCGGCTTCTTGTGCAGATGCTTCGACGATGTCTGGGTATTTAATTAGTATACAATTGGTGGATGGTGGCTAGCAGTGGAATCCAGGATGCGCATTTCGTCCTATTTGGGACTCGTCAGCTGGATGTACCTGCATTTCTCAGTGAGTGATGATGTTCCCACCGAGGCTCGAACCCAGTACCCATAGTTTCAAACGCCAAAGCGTTATCCACTAGACCACTTGGGCCACGAGAGCCACCTCTTGTGCAACGGGTCATATTAATTATTGAATTGAATTTTTGATTTTCCCGTCGATTGATTGGACCGAAGTGCTCGGTCTCAGGTTGACATGTCGGCTTCTTGTGCAGATGCTTCGACGATGTCTGGGTATTTAATT